GCCCAGCAAGGACAACTCAGGAATCCTGCTGAACAGGGGCAGGGCCTGCTGCTGGGAGCATGACTTCCATCTGACCTCCTCCTCCCTGTGTGCTGGAACAGAGGAGAGGGGCAGATCACCCAGGAGCCATTTAGGGAGGAGAGTGAGTCAGAGGTGATAAACAGACATATTCTACATTGCATGTCTAAGAGGTGCAGAACAAAAAGCACAGACCAAAGGAGAGGGAGCAGAGGTGATTTTAAGCTACTTGGGGCTACACAAACTCTGAGCCAACTGGGGACCAGTGAAACACCTACTGTGTTTGTAAATTAATCAGGCTGTGGTTAGTCGGCACCTCCCCCCGCCCTCGCTGGCAGTTTTAGCTGAGAGGTCAAGGATTGCATTGGTCATGTATACTGAATGCCTATCTTCGTGCTAGAGGAGAATGCCTGGGTGAGGCACATATGTGAGGGTTAATAATATGAATGGGATTGTACCAGTGCGATCTCTGGGGGCTGTGGAGAAATGGAGACATTTGCATAGTTATAATTACCAGATTGTGGACTGTGAAACTTTATGGATCCTGGAGATAGTATAAACTGTGTACGGATTCCAACATTAGTTTAAAGTACATGAATACTTCACTGCTAGAGAAAAATACCATATTAGAAAATCAATAATACACCCCAGAATGTCATGAATCTGTTTCTTAAAAATGATTTGTGTTGTTTCCACTTAATATTAAGCAAAACAAGGGAGTTCAGGGAGGAAGGGAAGATCATGTTGATTTCCTCTTTGATGAAGTTGGCAAGGTCTTTCACAGAGGGGGAAGAGGGTGGTGAAGTGGGAAGAGATTTAGGAAGGAACAACAGGTGTTGGAGGTTAGTAGGATGGATTTGTGGTGGGAGAGACGGGCAAAGGAGACAAGGGTGGATAACCTCCACATGCCATCATAAGGATGTGTTGAGGGTATGAGAGAGAATTAAAATTGCTCTGGTTGTTTAGTGACTTTTACTCTGCACTTTCAGACTCTCTGATATTTGTTTGGTTCTTAAAAAATAGTAATAATTTGCCTTTCTCTGGCATATTCCACCTTTACAAACACAATGCCCTTGATGGGGTAGTTCAGTGTTGCTATCCCCACTTTAACCACAGAGAAACTAAAGCATAGAGATGTGAACTGATTTGCCAACATTCCCGGACTCCCAGTCTTGAATTACCATAAAATGATGCCCTTCATATTTACATATGACCTCAACTTTGAATCTCCTCTTCTTCTGCCTTTTCATTTTTAAATTAAAATGTTCATTTAAGAGTTTGTGTGTATTTATTTTGCTCACATTCTTGACGGGGAATTGCAGCCTTCACTCCCCAGGGCTGTCTATCCAGCAACTTTCACACGGAAGAAATCTGCTAAACACAGTCATAGAAAGAAATGACATAGACATGAGTCACATGCATCCTTGCTTGTTTCCATCCAGTTCTGAGTCTCCAGCCACATTGAGGTCTTAGGCCAAGTCTACAGTAAAAAGTTAGGTCAGCCCAGCTTACGTCACTCAGGGGTGTGAAAAATTCACACCCCAGAGCCTTGTAGTTAAGCCAACCTAACCCCCAGTGTTGATGGCGCTAGGTTGACAGGAGAATTCTTTCTTGACCTAGCTACCAACTCTCAGGTAGCTGGATTACCTATGCTGATGGGAGAACCCCTCCCATTGGTGTAGGTAGTGGCTGCACTGAAGCTCTCAGTGACGCTGCTATAATTCATTCAGTCACTGACTTCGCTGGAGCACCTCCAGATTTACACCGCTGTAACTGAGAGCTGTGCTTGGTCACTGGTTCAGAACACTGGGTAGAGAATGAATAGAGAACACAGCTGGGCAAACAAAGCAGCAGGAGCAGGAATGGGCAGGTCAGAGAGCTCTCGCAGGTGCATGTCCAGCCTCACTCTATTCATGTACTCACACCCGTGCTGGCCCCTGGTGCTCCCCATGAGCTGTCATTTATTAGCTCATGACCGAGCCACACTGGCAGTTTTCATGGGAGAATCATGACCTCAGGCAAAGGGGCAGGTTTCAAGTGGGTCTAACAGTGCCTGGCCCTCAGAATGTAAGAGGTCCCTTTTCTATGAAGAGATGGAATCTGGAGAATGTGTCCTCCCCAAGAGAACGTAACTTTGTCTTCATGATGTAGTGTCTATGGATGCAGAGAGAAATGATTTGGACTGGATGAGAATGAGCCTCAGCCTTCATCCCCAAACTCAGACAGCAGACCCAGAGCTCAGACTGTACAGTGAAACCTTCACCCAAAACAAAGGCAGCAGAAGTGCAAACTCTGCTCCGCCCCATGTGCTACCCATTGCCAGTGTGTCTCAGCCCTACCCCGGAGCAGCCCAACACTAGGGACTATGGGGGAATTCAGCCTCCACAGCCCAGCTTGGGAGGAAAAGCCTGGTTCTTGCCTGAGCTTTCCAAGCCTCTGACTCTGCAAACCCAAGAGATCCCCCACTGGCCCACCGACCATTGGGTCAATTCCAAACACCTGGAAGTTCAGGAGTTCAGACCTGGCTCTCAAACTACAGCTGGCTTCTGTCTGAACCAAAACAAGGGACTGGCCATCTCTGACCTTGGGAGTTTTAAAGACCTAGCTCCAAATGTGTGGTAGTATTAATGAACAGGAACTGGCCCCAGCTCCACAGCCCACTAAGACAGCTGTAGGCATCAGAGCAAGAGCAAGTGGCTCAGGGACAAGTGGGCAGTTGTGGATGCAAGAAGATCAAAGGGAACCATGGTGTCCAGCTGGTAAATATCTCTTTTCACTGGTAGTTTTGCAGCGGGAAGCCCGGGCACTGGTCTATCACCAACAAATATGTAAAGGCTGGGAGCGACCCATGAGAGCTGCCAGTGCCGGTGTCCGTGCCACCTAAAACACATGCAGGGAACAGAGTGGATTGCCTCTGTTCCCAAGGCAGCTCTCTGTCCCTGCTGCTTTGTTTGTCCAGTTGCGTTCCCTCCACTTCACTGTAGACCCAGAGGCAGAGTCTCTGCTGGGCAGTCCACAGAGGGCCAGGCCTGAGTCTAGCTTCCCGAACATCTTTTCTTCATAATTTTTTCTCTCTCACTTTCATGAGTGAATTTTAGCAGCTGGTGGATCAACAGCCACTAGAGACCAAAGCACTCAGTGTATTCCCAGAACAAGTTCAGCACAGACAAACTTCTCCACCCAGCACCCACACTGCCAAGCAATGTGTCTCGCTCTGATCTGCAGGGATCACCTACCCTGGATGCATCTGGGCAAGGGAAACATGGCTGGGATGCCAGGACACTGCTGGCATGTGCCGTTTGGTGGTCTCGTTTATTCTTGTACGTTTCAGTGAACTGTGCACAGCACTGGAGTTTTTTACAGAACCGGCTGTGTGCATCCACACACAGTGGTGCTGGCAGCTTTGGCTGCTCCAGGGTGTTCTCAGACTCCTGGAGCACCTACTCCATTGTGCCCAGTGCTGTGAGAAGCAGCTTTCGAGGGACTTTTCCACTGCAAAGCACTACATTGCGTGACGGAGTCTGGGGGATCAGCTGCCCCTGGACAGCTGTAACCCTTATGAATTCCCACCAAAGCTGGGTACTAACTATTTCCGATGACACCAATTCAGCTGGACCTGAGCGCAGACCTTCATCCCAGGCATTGCAAACAATTGGCACAACCGATGCTGGCTCTGCTGTTGTGCGCGGACTCCAGGTGCTGCACAGGCCCTGCAGGCTTAAGGCACTGCTTTGCTACAATGCTTTTTTGTTGACGGGGGGACCTACAGCTAAGAAGGTTGTTTGTTCTTTTTGACCCACTCAACCACTGGCTTCTCTACTGAACCTGTCAACAAGGGAGCAAGGCAGAGCTGCTTGTGATGCTGGCTCTCCTTTGGGACACTAGGATATGGACTGAGACTTGCTGTATCATTTCACAGAGCCCACTGACAAGCTGTCCGCTGGGAACAACTTCCAGCTGCTACAGTTCTGAGTCCAAAGGGACCCCAAGAATGCCTAGGGGAAGGACTCTCCATATCTCATATCCAGATCCCCCTGCCTGATTTGCATGGCTTAATTGCCGCCTTTGCTCCAAGGAGGAGCCGTCCCAGGAGGCAATACAATGGGCAATTCGTTTCCAGCCAGAACAAAGGATTACAGGTGACAGGTGATCAGGACCAGGCCCGGGTCACTGAGCAGCAACGTTCAAGCTGTTTATCCAGGAAAAGCCAGTTTGGTCGAACGTCTGTACGGGGACTTTGGAGGGGGCCACCATGTACTGATTGGTGGACAGAATACAGGAGGCTGTCATTGGCTAAGGGATATTCTGTACAATACACCCCCCTTGCTACTGAGGAGTATAATCGCGGGAAGGAGTCTGAGGGAGAGAAGGGGGGGGAAGACAAAGGCCCCCTCCCATCACTTTGCTCAGGCAGCCCCCCAAAGGAAATTATCCAGCAGCAGCTTCAGAGACCTTGGAGGAAGAGGAATATTTCAGCCCCTGCTTCCCACACACTGTGAGTCTCCTGGGAGGATGTGGACAGCCGTCGCCCTGAGCTGCTTGCTGCACTTCACGGCCACTTCACCCATACTGTGAGTGATGCCAAAACTCCATTTCAATCCCAGTCATCAGGGGAACGACTTAAACAGATGGACCATTTTCCCATCTAGTCTGCTCCCCCGCCTCCTGCCACAGCAGGTCAGACCAACGGGCCATTGAGTCTGGGATCCCACTTTCCAGACTAGATCAGATCATTCGTCCTTCAGGTCACACATCCCGCCTCCTGCACTCCAAGAGCAAACCACTGGCCCATGGAGTCTGGCATCCTGCCCTTGTCACACTAGGGCACATCATTGGGCCAGCTAGACTGCAGCCATCGGAGGCTACAGGTATCTGGAGGGTGTAAACTCCAAGGAGGGAGAGGAGTTGTTTAGGGGAGCCCAAGAAAAGGAAGAGAGGAGTAAAGATAAAAATCCGAACATGGAGATATCTCCAACCTGAATCAGCAGGAGACATTTCCTATGAGTGAGGGGTCAACTAATCCCCGCTGTGGGATCCCCATTGCTTTTGACATTTACCCTATGTCAAAGCACAGCCTTGAAAGGGACTATCCTGCCTGGGGCTGCTGGGCAGCATGTGTGTCTAGGGGTGTGTGTATAGGGGTGCCCGTTCCTCTCGCTGAGTCCTCACTCTAATTCACTGCTGTGCTATTTCCTCCCTGCTGCAGACATTACATGGTGGTGATCCCTGCAGACCTCCACTACCCGTCATCCCAGGCTGCCTGTGTGCATATCAACTATAACGCGGGGAAGCTCTATGTGACCCTGCTGCTGGAGCACTCTGGGGGACAGGATGTCTTGTTGCGAAAAGAGATCACGAAGGAGAAGACCTTTGGGTGTCGCAAGTTCCAGGTGAGACTCCCTCTGCTGATGCTTTTACTCCTCCTCCTTTTCCCTCTCTTCAAAGACCTTAGCACAGGGAAAGGTATTGGTTTGGCAGCCCCTTGTGGCTGTACCCTGTAGTTATCCCCAGATCAAGTACAAGGTGGATACGTTTCCCACACTCACCACGGCCACTACAGTTCCTCCAACTTGCCCTGGAAGGACCCACTGCAGCAGAAGCAGGAGAGGTCTGTCTCCAGGCTCCCATTCCGTCCCTGGCCTCTTTCCTGAGAGAACTAATGAGGAGGCCAGTTCGTGCCAAGGGTGATGGTGCTTTGTGTGATGTGGGGACTGAGACCCAGCTGTCCAGTTCACACACAGGCTACTGACAGCAGCCAGAGGAGAATGTGTGTGCATGTTATTTATAAGCTGCATTGTCACGGCTGATTCCCAGGAGGAGAGAAACTTCACTGAGATCTAGAGTGAGGGGGATTTGCCCAGGTAGTGACCCTTCCAGTACAAAAGAGCTAGGATTTAGCTGTGGTTTCTTTATTGAGGCTGCTGGACACAGGCAGACCCTCTGTCTCTCTGGTTCTCCCACTGATTGACATGGCCTGGGCTGCCTGCTGGCACCACACTAAAGACCTAGCTTCATGGAAGTGGCTGCTGATTACACTGAAGCCCTCTCTCTCCCCTATGCTTCCTTGCTAACTTCTCCCACCTTTGTCTTCTCGGGGCCTTTGCCCACCCTCACCCCTATGTGCCAGGGCTCAGAGGCATCACTTGCCTCCTTTTCTCTGCTATTGCAGTTTCCTGGCCAGAAAAGAAATGGATGAAGCCCATGCCTGGTGGTTCCTAGCTGAATCTGGATCTGAGGAGCTGAGACTTTTCAGTACATGCCACTGGGTGGTGGTGGTGGGGGGGGTTCTGCTGTTCTCCTTTCCCCTCCCCTGCTCCTGGCCAGGACCCCAGGGAGTTAAGCTGGGGCTGCTCACCGTCTCTCTTCCTATCCAGGTTGTGCTTCCAGCTAACAGCACCGAGGAGGTTGCCAGCATCAAACTGTTCATCACTGGCCGCAGGATCGATGTTCATGAGGAGAAGAAGGTTCTGATCCGCAGAGTCAACAGCGGCACCTTCATTCAGACAGACAAGCCCATTTACAAACCAGGACAGACAGGTGAGAGCTCCTGCTAGGAGCAGGCAGTGCCCATATGTGTGGGTGTCCACTCACATAAACTTTCCCCTGTACGCGGCCTGGGGCAGATCCTCTTGGGAAGCGGGGTTTGGCTGGTTTTCCAACACTGTTCCACCCTTTCCTCTAACCTGGTGGCCATTTCAGCCTTTGGCATAAGTTCAAATTGCCTCTAGGTTGTTTTCACTCTTGCTGACTTGAACACCCCAGTCAGCCCAGAGTGCAATCCAGAGCAGAGAGGGACTGTGTCCTGTACCCTGCTCTGCCTCTGTAGCTCTCAACAAACAAGTTGTTAGTTTTCAGACGATACCTCCCAAGGCATATCTTGTACAAAGGTTATTACAATGGTGCATAGGGTGTGAATACAGTGGTGCATTCCCTCACAAAGGGCCATTCCACGAGTCTAGGAACACCAGAGCACAATGTGCTTTTGGCCTTTTTGCAGCCTCAGCCTGTTCCCAATGTGCCACTACACCACCAGTCACAGCAACTTGACCCGACCCATGGATTCCCCTACCATAGCTGCCCTATGTACAGCCTCGTTTATGTGTGAGCCTCATTGCCCTCTATTTTGGATGGAGTGCAAACTGCTCAGCAGTATGTCATAGGCCCTATACTGGTAGCAGTCAATGGAGATTCTCCTTTAGCTCAAGTGGACTGATCCAGGGCTCTTGGAGCAGGAGGATCTGAGTTATATCCCTGCTGCAGCTGCTGTGAAGTTCTGAATGGCCACAGTGTGTAGCATTGTGATGAGTGTGAAACTCCAGGAAGCCACACATCAAGTATCTGTAGGTGAACGTGCTGGGAATGTACATGTGAATGTTTGTGTGTGTGCTGGTGTCATAATCAATACTACTCACAAATGTATACCCTGTGTGTGTACAAGGTAGGGACATAGGTGAATAAGGACTGGAACAGCACGGGGGCTGCAGGGCAGGATTGATAAGCACTGGCAGAGCTGCGTGGGGAGCCCAGGACAGGAATAGCAGGGGGGCTGCAGGACAGGTCTGAGGTAAATAGCTGATAGGTCTCCATTTTCTAAATTGTCTCCATTTTCTTTTCCCCTCTCAGTGAAATTTAGAATCGTGACCCTGAATGAGGATTTCATTCCACTCAATGACACGGTGAGACACATATGAGAGGATGTGAAGGAGTCTCCTGTTTCAGATCCCTTCTGTCTTAGTCTCCCCCCATCCTTGTCCAAGTTCTGTCACTTCTTTAGCTCCCAAATACATACATGGGCTTTGTTTGTCAAGTGTCTGAAGAAGAGTAACACCCAGAATAATAACTGGTAACTCAGTGTTGAAGGCAGATGGGAATGGTATCCAATTGCTGAGCATGGAGCCCTGCTCATGTCAGCAAAATGGGCACCCAACACAGAAATTTTGTAAATGCCGATTCCTTATTCCTATCAGCTCCTTCTGCTGTTCATGTGCAGCCTCCACTCTAGGGATGGCGCAGGAAAACCGGTTTGTTAGGAGTGCACCACTTCCTCCTCTTGGATGTACAGTGGGGATTGGATTGTTTGTAGTGAGGGCTCCCTCAGGCAAGAATTTACCTGGGACTCTTCTAAGGGATGGCCATTCCATAGCAGAGTCTGAGCTAGTGTCAGACAGGAAGGGGTTTCCCTTAGGTGGGGACTATTGGAGAATAATCTATTTGCAAATGTGGGGTGATTACCAACCTGGCTTTTACACTCTTCCTCTCGCCAGGCCTCAGTGTAATGGGCTGTGCCACCATTTCTCTGGTGATCCTTATGCAATTAGTATTGTTTGTCAGGGATCTGAGCTCCCAGGTCATTGATCAAACTGCTCTCCTTGAGAAGCTTTGTGTTTCTAATGCATTGTTTACACTGATGAGAGTGCTTTTCTCTCTTCTAATGTTGCTGCCTCTTTTTTCCGCAGTATCCGTTGGTGTTTCTTCAGGTGAGTGTCACACACACAAAAAATGGTATTTTTTGGTGCAGGTTGCAATAATTTGTTTACATTCTTGACTGTGTAGATGCCTATGTTTTGAATTTTACAAGTTAATGGTTCTAGAAATTAGATGTCTTCAGGGCTTCCCTCTGTATTCTAGACACTTTGAACCAAGTTCTGCTCTGTTACATCAGTGCAAATCTGAGTTACTTGAGATTTACACCACTATGAATGGGAATTCACTTTGGACCTTTATAATTACAGTTTAGAATTTTAAGAGATCTTTTCTCTAGATCAGAGCATCACTGGTCTTAGAAGCTACAACTATGTAGTCTTCAGGATTTCTAGAATATCTAGGCCATATGAAGCCCAAGAGACAAATGATTTTAGAAGCTTTGGAACTTGGGTTCTAGAGCTAAGGCCAGTTTAGAACCTGTTAGGTAATATCATCTAGAACCCTTGAAATAGCTGGATGTTGTGGATTCTGGATCATTTAGATGCTGGAGCAATTAATTATGCCTCTCTGCTGCGGGTGCAGGACCCTAACAATAACCGGATTGGCCAATGGCTGGATGTGGCTCCACAGGAAGGCATTGCAGATCTGTATTTCCAGTTAGCTGCTGAGCCCCCACTGGGGATGTACATCATCAGCGTGGCCAACGAGAAAGCACACAGCAGCTTCTCCGTGGAGGAGTACGGTATGCCTGGGGAGAAAGACAGCTCTAGGGCAGGGGGAATTTTATCTGTGGGAAACAGATCCCACCTGGGGAGAGGTACGGCATCTTGGTATGAGAAATCTCCTGTGGATGGATGGGGGAGTGCTTCCTAGGAGGGAAGGTCACCTCTGACAAGGAAGGGAATCAAATCTGGTCTGATCTGAGAAGATGTCCCTGGATATTGCTAAGGAAGGAGATGATTCTCTGAACCCCCCCCCCCCCCCCGTTTAGTGTGGACAAAGAGAGCTGTGTGTACACACCAGTCTGGTTAGGTACAGACTGCAGAGGCTATGACAGGACAATAGCAGCACTGAGCTTTCTGTCACAGCTGGCTGATCCCCAAAGCTGACTGTACCAATGATGTTAGGGGTTGATTTTCAAAAGAGCCCAAGTGACACAAGAGAACGGTGACTTTCAATAGGACATATGCTCCTAACTCATGTGAGTGCACTGGTTATTTCTAAGGACAAAGCTGAATTTGTATACTCGCCTTCCGAAAACTGCTGGAGAAAGGGTTCATAGCTCAGTGTTTTCTGTCTGATTTCTCTACAGAGGGGCAACAGGAGCACATTGATAGCTATGGCAGCCTCTTTCCCTCTCCACTCATTACAAACAGCTGTCATAAGGTGAGGGACATTAACAGACAAATTCACTGTTGTTTGGGCCCCTACAGAGCCACAGGTCCAACACCAAGGGGGAGAATTAGGCAGGAGTGGAACTATACCTACATTTCATAAAAGAAAAAAATGGGACCCCCAATGCTACCACAGTTCAGCCCATGTTCATTCTCATCATGGCCGGCTCCTCGCCAGGGTGTAACTTCCCTCCATTCTCTCTGGTTCTTTCCTTCCAGTGCTGCCAAAATTTGAAGTGGTTTTTGAGGAGCCAACTCAGATTTATGCTTTGGATAAAACCTTCCTGCTCCGCATGTGTGGCAGGTGAGGTGGCTGATCGGGGGGGAGGGAGCTGCTAGTAAACTCCAGCCTGGGATGAGCAATCCCCCCCTCTATTAGGGGAACCTCAAAGGGAGAATGTAACTGAGTGACTGTGTCTCCGTTATATTACGCCAAGTTCATTCCTGGCAGCCCTTTGACATCTTTAAATAGCTAGAAAAATCACCCTAATTATTAATTGTCTCCCATTGCTCTAGCTCCTTTCATCCTAAAGGATCTCAGAGCTCTTGACAGAGTGCATATGCAGAGACCATCCAACCACGAAATATAGTCATTTCTGGGGTGGAGCACAGCAGATATTCTATGCTAGTCACACTACAGAACAAGACAATGAGAGGGGAAAGGAAGAAAAATTTCACCAGATGATACTGGAGGGGAAATTCTAGGGAGGCAGAATGGGATGGCTCCAGATGGAATTTGGCCAGGACATGGGGATTACATATTGACGAAGAAGAGCAGCCCCTCACTGAGTCAGCCTCATCAGAGCCTGCAGTATCACGCCTCTACTATCTCTCAGGGCACTGGAGTTAGTACAGACTCAAAGGGTAGCGCGTCTCCGCTGAACATCACTTATACCCCTTCACTCCTTGCAGCACAGGCTCCCTAAGCACAATGTGCTCAGATACCACAGTGATGGGTACAGGGTAAGAGCTTACACAGATAGATAAAGAGAGAGGTGCTGGGGCATTGACTCAGATGGAAGAGTCTTAGAAGACATAACAAAACCAGCAGCCCCTAGGTTTGGCTTGGAGGTCTTCCATCCAAGAACTGACCAGGCCAGCCCTGCTTAGTGGCTGAGATTGGACAAGATCATGGTTCTCGTTGCTTGTACAGCTGCAGCTACCTTGGTACACTTCATACGCTGTGAATATCCATGAAATAAATGAGATCTGGAGGTACACTAAAGCACGCCCACCCAGATTCCTCTATATTGAACATGAGCTCACGAAAGCTCATGCTCAAATAAATTGGTTAGTCTCTAAGGTGCCACAAGTACTCCTTTTCTTTTTGCGAATACAGACTAACACGGCTGTTACTCTGAAACCAGATTCCTCTGTTTTCTTTGTGTGTGTGTGTGAATACCCTTTCCATGTGTTCCCCCACCCCCTGCACTTTCTCACATAGATACACCTATGGGAAAGGCGTGCAGGGGAAGATCCAGGTGAGCCTGTGCCAGAAGAGTTGGTGGTATTTCTACAGTACCCAGCGACCTCCTCTCTGTCAACACTACAACAACCAGGTGAGTCACTTAACAAGAGCTGAGCCCCACAGGGTGACACTCCTGTGAAGCAGGAGCTGGAATGTCAGCCGAGGTGGGCCAAGGGGAAGGAGACACAATGCAAGACATGTTATTTTAATTGATTTCACCCCATGTCTAAAACCTGTTTTTGTTCCCTGGCCCCATAACCAGCTGCCATTGTCTCTATTGTTCTTGTTAATAATCTTGGCAGTTGTCCCTTATTTGGTAGTTCGTCCCTTGCCTGGTCTCTTTTTTAACCTTGCCTGTTTTATATGATTTTTCCCACTGAACCATTTCAGATTTAACGTAACACATATTAAAGTCAGAAAGCCCGAGAAGCCTTTTAACAGGGGCAACAGAGTAGACTCCTCTTCAGAGAGGCCTTTCCACCACAAAAATGACAACCTCAGCATTGACGCCCCTTTCCTCCCCAAAACCACCAACCAACCACTCTCTCTCTCTCTCTCCCCCCCTCATTGTCTTGCTCTCTTTGGTGCTGAGATCCACCCACTGCTGACACCATGTCGTGTTGTGTGGTGGTGCAGACAGAAGCCAAAGGCTCAGCACTATGTGCATACAATGGTGTTTAGTGAGACTTACCTCATTGACTCTTGAAGCGTATCTACACAGCCTCGGGGTGGGGGGTGCTTCGCAGTGTGGCTAGACTGACACATGCTAGTTCTGTTGATCTAGGTCCCTAAAAGTAGCAGTGTGGCTGCAGCCATGCGGCTATGGTTAGCGCACTAGCTTGAGTAGGTTGAGCTCCCTAGGAGCAGGGGTTCTGTTCTGACAGAGAGGTAGCTCATTCCGTGACATCTGTCCCTCCTGCAGTGCTGTGCTGTCCCAGCACCAATCACCTTGCTCTCTCTTGTTTTCAGACTGATAAGATGGGTTGCTTCTCCACGTCTGTGTATCTTTCTGTCTTCAACCAGATCTCCTCTGATTACCGCAGCAACATAGATACAGTGGTCACATTGGTAGAGGATGGCACAGGTAACCTCAGAAGTCTCTCTGAGGGTATAGGAAAGGCACTTGAATAAACATGCACCAGTATTATCTGGGACATCAGAGACTGTCAGCCCTGTTCTTAGTCCATTGGGAGCATTGAGATACAGGCTCACAGGAGGTTCTGGAACTGGCCCTTCTTGGAGCCCATAGGGGGTTCTGTGCTCCAGTGCTCACTGGTTAGGCACCGGAGCTAACCCGTTATGGGTATAACATAAGGCATGTTGCTCTGTGGGTCCATAGGGGTGGTGTGGTCTGGTCTGGTCTGGTGTCATGATGGGGCACTGACAGGTTCTCCTATAGACATCTGTAATTAGGTGGGGAGACCAGATAGCCAGGGTCCTGTGAGCACTATCTCCCTGGGGGTATCAAGTGTGTGCAGCCTAATACATGTTTGTCTCACCAAATGGCCTGCTCTCTAGTTGAATTGCCCAATGGGATGGTTCTTTGTTCCCTGCCTCTCTCTCTCCCATCTCTTCTCCTGTCCCTTTCACTCAGAGGTGCAGGTCAATGCCTCCCGCAGCTTCTTCATCTCCAGGACAGCTGGGACGGCCACGTTTGAGGAGGTTAATCCTTATTACTACACTGGCGAGATCTACACAGGGAAGGTAACTCTTAGCTAAACCCTCCAGAGAGTACAGCGGAAATAATGTGCTCCTAACTGTATCCTCAGCTGTGTCTCCTTGCCCTGCTTTGTCCCCAGCACAAGCTCTGGGATGCCACAGAGACTGAGTAATTCCCAGCCAAAACACTTGGTTCAGGTGGGGTTAAAACTGAGGTACAAATCAGTGACTCGGTAAAAAATACAAACCCCATACAGGAATGTCAATTGCTTAAAAAAAAAAAAAAAAAAAAGCCCCAAGGACTAAAAATCCAGGGGATTCAGAGTTAGACCTCAAGGACACCCCAAACATTTGAAAGTATAGAATTCTGTAGGCCAGGCTCCCAAGTAACCCTCTGCTGGGTCTGTGTGCTGCCTCTTCATATGGCAATAAAGGAGACGATGACTCTTAAGAGCAGTGCTGGTAATGCTGATGGCGACTGGGGTGTTCTCTCTGCCCGGGGAGATACTGACGGCGAGTTGGGTGAGATGGAGCTGGAGATTCCATACGTTGATGAAACTGCTTTGTGTTCCTCTCTTCCCCATGTGATTCTCAGATTAAAATCGTCGATCACCAAGGCAAAGCAATGAATAACACACCAGTTTACCTTATACTAAGCTACACCAGGCTGCGGTTTAACAAGACATACATCACAGATGACTCTGGAAGAGCTTCCTTTGAGCTAAACACGAATGCTTGGAATGGTGCCTCGGTCTCTTTGGAGGTAAGTGAGGAAGACTCCATCTCATGATTTGTGAAAGTCAGGGACTAATACCACTTTCCAGAACCAGGTTAGTGCTCTGCAGGCATCTCCCCCCCACCCCCACCAGTTCTAATGAAGAACCATATTTCAGACTTGCATCACCTCTGGATATTCCAGTTCTTGGCTTCCCACCAAACAGCTCCTTTGATGTACGTTATTCCTAAACTGTGGATCCAAGTTATGCTAGCCCTGGGCTCCTCACATAACTGCTGGCATTCCTCAATGACCTGCTGCCGTTCCAATCATGAGCTTCTCATACCAGCCTAGGTATGTGCAAGCAAGTTAGTATGTAGTGTAGCTCCTTTCAATCCAGTGGATTTACACCGGGGATGAATTTGGCCTAGGATCTCTAAGTCATGTCTAGGATCTTGACCCCCCTAGTTCCAGAATCTCTCTCATCTGATGTACTCACCCAGAGAGTTCACTGTTTATTTTCTAACAGGGGAGATTCCTGCTTCAGGACCCAGTATATGTGCCAGGGACAGTCAATGTGTATTACCAGAATGCCTACCACTTCATACAGCCATTGTACACCACTACCAAGAGCTTCCTCAGGATCGTACGTGTTCCAGGAACACTGCCCTGTGGCAAAAATGAGAGGGTGCAGGTGGACTTCAGAATTTACCAGAAAGACTTGAGTTATGGTCCCAAGAGTGTGGATTTTTCCTATTATGTGAGTCGCTAGGGAAATGTAAGGGGGTGATGGTGATGGGTTAAAAATGCTGGATCAGAAACCTCGAGCGACTCAAGCCCTGGTTGCACAGAACAGAGAATGTGCACACACACCTCTGCCTCCCTGCTAGTGTTCCTCAGCTCTGCATTTGAGAAACCACCTTTACGGAGGGGAGAGGGAAGTTCAACATCCATGGCCCAAACAGTCCTTGGTCTCTAAACTAAGATGTCCAGTGTAGTGGCCATTTATTTATTGTTTCCCTCTATTCAATGTGGCAACTGTGCCATTAGGAACAGGGCCACTTAAATAATTTCAATAATGAAGTCCATTGATCAGCTGTCAAATGGGCAGGACTTTCACTCACTACTGACCCTGGACTAGATCAGAACTGGTGCCTGACAGGTAAAAGTTTTCATATCCCGGTCTCTTTATCCCCCTAAGTCCTCTGCACCCAGTGGCTCAATTGTAGCTGGTCCCATGGAGGGTGAAAGGCTCTATGTCTCATTCTCCCTAAGTTGCCATCCATGGAGAGTCTGGTCTGCGTAATGATGTCAAGCTATTGACCGTATTTCTGGCATTTCCTAGCCCTTCTCTTATGCCTCTTTCTCTCTTCTCCCTTAGGTCATTGGGAAAGTGGGGATTGTCCTTTCAGGTCAGAAGACTTTCTTGGTTGGGTCATCAAAGAGTAAGTGCAGGCAACTCTTCTACATCGTGATCATTCTGTGCTGTGCTGTGTCCCCACAAGCTCTGCTCCATGATGTAAGCCATGTAGGGTAACTTTAGGAATCTCACTCCTTGCAAGGCTGACATCTGCTAACATCCAACGAGCTGAAGCTCTCAGCCCCCTCAGGTGGTGGTTAGAGACAGGGAGATCCTCTGGCTGATCTATAATGGCAGGTCAGAGCTTGAGGAGTCCACGAGGACACTGATTGTTTCATGGGCTTCTCTGGAAATGTCCTTGGTTCTGAGTGACCCGATTCCATGCGACAAAGGCAGGGAGAAAGGGAGCAAAATGGCAGAGGAAGAGTGATGGCAAAAAGGGAAGATCTTGGTACATTTGGTAGTGGAAACATACCCTTCTTTTCCTCTTTCTTTCTCTCCAATCCCTCCTCCCCCATCCAGTGATGACGGGCACTTTCTTCATTCCTCTGGTCTTCACCTCCGACTACGCCCCAGCTCCTACCATTGTAGTTTATGTCATCTTCCCCACTGGAGGAATCATAGCTGATAGTGCCCCCTTCAGGGTCTCCATGTGCTTCAAAAATGAGGTAGGACTCATGGCTGAGAGCTCTGGGTTCATGGGTGTGTGCATCTGGGGAAGGAATGCAATAAGGTTATGAGGGTGTGAGGAGTAGATAAATATGGGTGGCTGGGTGTAACTGAGTGGCTGGGGTAATGATTCACTGGGAATATAGGGACCTGTATTTCAATGTATGGTTTTGGGTGAGGCACTTAGGGGAAGGGTAGCTGAAGAAGAGGGTTTTACCCTCTGCTCGGAAAGGTCTGAGATCAATGAACATTCTAGTGACTTCTGGAATCAAGTTCCTCAACCACAAGTTGAGAGAGCCCTGTGTCCTGCACACACAAGTCTCACTCCTGAGGACTGACAGCTCCATTATTCCACAGGAGCCTAGCTGTCATGGGGAACTATGATCAGGCAAGGTGAGCAAGTGCTTTAGGACAGTGATTCTCAACCAGAGGTACTTGTACCCACCGGGGGCATGCAGAGGTCTTCCAGGGGTTACATCGACTCATCTAGATATTTGCCTAGTTTTACAGCAGGCTACGTGAAAAGTCTGTCTTGAAGTCTTTAAACCACGATTTGAGAACTTCAATAGCTCAGACATAGGTGAGAGGTTTTTTGCAGGAGTGGTGGGTGAAATTCTGTGGCCTGCGTTGTGCAGGAGGTCAGACTAGATGATCATAATGGTCCCTTCTGACCTAAATATCTATGAATCTATGAAAAGCACTAGCGAAGTCAGTACAAACTAAAATTTCATACAGACAATGATTAGTTTATACTGCTCTATGTACTATACACTGAAATATAAGTACAATATTTATATTCCAATTGATTTAATTTATAATTATATGATAAAAATTAGAAAGTAAGCATTTTTTCAGTATTAGTGTGCTGTAACACTTCTGTATTTTTATGTCTGATTTTGTAAGCAAGTAGTTTTTAAATAAGGTGAAACTTAGGGGTACGCAAGACAAATCAGACCCCTGAAAGGGGTACAGTAGTCTGGAAATGTCGAGAGCCACTGCTTTAGGAAACCTGGGATAGTCTCATGGAGGGTTTGAAGAGAAGGACTGAGTCATTTGAATCTGACCTGGTATTTAGAGATGAGATTGTGTGTTGAGAAGAGCACTGGATTGATGTTCTCTCAGAAGACTGTGCTGCTGTGTTCTGCTCTTTAGGTGTCTCTAGTTGCATGTTTCCCCTACTCTCCAATTGTCCTTACTCCTCAGTTGTCCTTCCCTTCAGAGTCCCATCTCATGGGTCATCTGCTCCCATAGCTGCTTCATTCTCTCCTGAAGCAACTGGCTTCCCTGAGGTGAATCCTAGGGGACTACCTTCACCTGGATTATGTGGGGCTCCTCTGTGCTCTAGTGACTTTGCAGGCTGATCAGCAGAGGGGACTCTCTCTCTGCCTTTCTCCCCTCCCCTCTCATGTTCTTTCCCCTTGTGCCCTTCAAGGTGAAGATAGGGTTCTCAGAGGATGAGGCCCTCCCTGGATCTGAGGTCAGTCTCCGGCTGCAGGCAGCTCCCAGATCCCTGTGCGCTGTCCGAGCTGTGGATCAGAGTGTCCTACTGATGAGGCCAGAGAGAGAACTGAGCAACTCCATGGTAAATTACTCTGTCAGTCTGTCTGTGTGAAAGGAAGAGCAAGTGAGCGAGAGAGAATAAGACGACTACATTGCATCTATACAGTGCTGTCCTTCCAAGGCACTCAGAGTGCTCCACGAAGGGAAATAGTAGCATTATCCCTGCTGTGCAGACGGGGAATGTGCCGCACAGGCAGGGGAAGTGACTTTCTCAAGGTCACAGAGTCATCATCAATCCCAAAGGGACAGACGGAATGCCACCGGGATCCATTTTTTGCTAGGCCCTTAAGGTGGTCTGTCTGGATATTCAGTCGTTGATCTTAATATGCCACCAATGCTTTTGACGATTACATGATCGCCAGCCATGTAGCAGCATTCTTTGGTAAACAAACTTCATAATTCATTGGTCTGCACACAGTGCACATTACTAAATCCAGGATTAGTTCCTGTCTCCCAGCCTCATGCTCAGTACACCAGACCATGTTGCCTCTCCAGGAAGAAAATAGGAGAAATGGAGAAGCGTGACTGAGAGCCTGTTTGGAGAGTCTATCTCATAGGTTGGGTCTAAGCTTTCCATACTTGATAGCATGGAACAACCATTCAGACAGATCTCTGGTGTGTTAGGAAAGGTGTATGTTGGTTCATCTTTCCACTGACTGGTATTTTTTTCTCTTTCTTGATTTTCCCAGATCTATGGGCTGTTCCCCCATATTTTTCGTGGTGGATACCCTTACCAAGTGTCTGAAGATGACTTCTTATGCTGGTCTCGCGAACCTCACCAGCCTGACGTGTTTATGGTGTTCAGAGTAATGATCTTTGATTCTTCCTCATTGGCTAGGTGGAGCAGGGTCTCTGACATTATAGGTTATTAGGAAACAGCTCTAGTAATCATTGATATTCCGTTGATTAGCTGGATGAGTCACCTGATATTAGTGACCAATAGGAAATTTAGTTATTGTACATTGATATCCCATTGGTGGCATGGTTCAGGGCTCCAAACATAATCGGTCAGTAGGAAAGAGTTTTACTTAAGGTCTTCATTCTCTATGGGTTAGTGGTTTAGAATGCCTACAATTAGATGGCCAATTCAGCACTGATGCCTCACTGGGCAGTTTGCTGAGGGCATCTGACATTAGTGGTCAACAGGAAACAGTCTTGTTGTGCATTGAGGAACCCGCTTATAAGAGATGTATATGGGAAAGATGCCCAATAGGAACACTGCTGTTTCCACATAGGCCCTATAGACTTTGAAGAAAAATAAACTTGCACTGAGTGAGTCAGGCCTGATAAATCAACTCAAGAGGCTTCATTGTCTCACTGCTGTGGGATATGAGTAATTCCCACTTGAATCAAAGTGAGAGATTCATATCATATAGCAGAGGGAAAACTGGGTCCTTGCTTTATAAGGGAGATGAGCAGCCTGAGGGACAAAGGGCAGCTGATAGAGGGAAAGGGAAGGATGGGTTTCTGATATCTAAATTCTCAGCATTTTCTTTCTTTCTTTCTTTCTTTCTTTCTTTCTTTCTTTCTTTCTTTCTTTCTTTCTTCAGGAAATGGGCTTGAAAATCATGTCCAACACCTATATCAAGAAGCCGAGAGAGTGCACAACTACTGTGGCTATGACAACAACAATGGTGACTGAATTGGAGAGCATGGTCTCCGTGCTAACCAGACCTACATTTCTCACAAGTGAGCGCTTGCTAGCTATTCTTTCTGCCTCCTCTTACTTCTCACTGGAGGGCTCAGTCTTATAGCTGAAACCAGCACAGAGTTCAAGGTAAGCAGTCCATGCTGTGATTGCAAGTGATAGAGGAAAACAGAGAGACAAAATGTTGCTTTGCCCTGAACTTGCTTTCTGGGCTGTCTGTGACTGAGGGGTTGATCCCCCCGAAATGTCAGTGAACTGACTGTTGTTTAAGACATGTCTGTCATCTGATTAGCTGACATCCACACTTTGTGTCTCTGAGCCAAATGGAAGACTATCTACTCTGAATATGGTTCTGAGGTTCCTACAGTAATTGAATCTTCTTTAAATAGTGTCCCTATGGCTGCTCCACTTCAGGTATGTGTGTGCCCCACGCACCTTCAATCAGAGATTTTGATAACGGGGTCTGTTTGCTCCGTGCAGGCACCTTTCATTATTACCTCGTGCCCTGCCCTGAAGCTATATAGTGCTGAGCAGGCAAACTGCCCTCAGTTCCTTCTCAACCACCTCGGCCTGAGATGGAGCTTTAGTGTGTCCACCCGGAGCATGACTTGGCTAGATGTTGTATCTAGTTTTTAGTTTAGTCTAGTTTATTAGTTAGCAAGTTTAGCTTAGCTTGTTATTTTGAGGATTGTTTCTCCTCTCCCCTCTCTTACGGCAGGCTTGCCTTCCTCACTAGGGCATGCCTGGTTTATGGGGGTTTAAATGCTGCCCCACTTGCTGGGAGACCATCCCAGTTTGTGATGGCTCCTCGAAGTGCATCTGCTGCCTTGAAGAGTCGCACGTACCACAGAACTATAACACCTGTTTAGCCCTCAAATCCAGAGCAAGAAAAAACCAGCAAATCAAGTTGCAGGTTCTTGTGATGAAGCGTTCCCTCTGCCCCACTTCAGAGCCCAGTCAGGAGAACCCCACTGTACAACATTCTTCAGGCAGATCTAGCACGTCTTCAGCATTGGCTCAACACTCTCCCAGGAAGGGGAATATCTCTAGAGACCTCTAGAAGTCCCAGAAAAATGAGCTCTGACTCCCTTCTTGAGGAGTCTGCTTCCAAAAGGCCTCACTCTCCCAGTAGCTCGACCACATCAGAAGTTTGATGTCGCAACCCAGTACCGTAGAAGCGAAGAGTTCCTCCTGTACTGGCAGGGCCAGGAAACCCTATAGCTTATCTGAGAGCAAACATGGCTCCAAGAGAGCTTTGGTACCATCCGGAGAAGACAGGTATTCCATACAAAGAAGAATGGTACCATCGGACATAGCTTTACCCTGATGGGTTCATCAGTACCTCACAAAGCTCAGCCTCTGTCTTTGCTGGTGCCCACCTTGGAGTGCACAAAATCCTTGGTACTGTCTAGAGCTAGAGACAGTCAGAGCGCTACATTGGTATTGCCACACCATTCAGTACTGCAAGAATTTAGGTACTCAAAGGACCTATCTATGGCAGATGAACTGGAGTCTACAGAGCTTATGGGCACTGAGCGCCTCTCAGTACTGAGACTTCTGTGGTCTCTGAACCCACATACATCCTCAGTACTATCGGACTCACCACGCTTTTCCATGGGAACTCCTCCACTGGATAAAGAAGAAGATGATGGGGACCTCCCTTCACTATCTTTGATATCAGTCCAGGGCTCTCCTACTTATCCACACGAGAACCCCTTCTCTGATACCTGAAGAGACACAGAGAAATGAATTTTGGGGAAGACATCGTGGCTGTTGGGAACAACTTTGGATTCCACCCCCTCTCCTGCATAGGCCTCTGTGGCCATATTGGGATCCCTGGGGTGCTTACTGCCAACAATTCTCCAGGACCCTGAGCCCCACCCACCAGATGATAGGGAGATACCATCTTCCCCTCCCCAGAACATAGCTCAACAGAAGGAGACATTTGAGGAACAGGAGGCTAGGGCAGACAAAGAGGCTATCCCCCAAACTACCATCTCATCTTCTTCACTTGATGAGGTGGTAATGTCTCCTCCTCCGTCAATGGCTGATGATTTTTGGCAATTCCAGAACTTCATAAAAAGGGTGTCAGGCTCCCTAAAGATACCTCTCAAGGAGGTCAAAGAATTGCAGCACAAGTTGCTCAACATTCTTTGTTCAGCAACTCCAACCAGAGTTGACAGCCCTGTCAATGAAGCCCTTCTCAATCCTACAAAAATGATTTGGCATACTCAAGTGACCATACCACCAACATGCAAAGGGATGATAAAAAATATTATGTGCTCAATAAGGGCTCTCAATTCCTATTCTCCCACTGCCCTCCTAATTCTCTGGTGGTGGACGCAGTGAATGAGCAGGATAAATATCATAATAAGTCAGCCGCGTTTGACAAAGACCAGAAGTGCTTTGGACCTTTTAGGGAGAAATTCCTATTTATCTGCAACCCTAAAATTCCGTATTGTGAATTACCAGGCACTCATGGTGAAATATAATTACATGAACTATACAAAATTAATATCTTTACTTCAGCACTTTCCCTCAGACCAAAGGGAACAGTTTCAAGCCACCATAGGAGTGGCTTGTCTCCAATAAGAGACAAACTTGTTGAAAGTCTCTGGGTAAGGATAAAAGTGTAAAAAAGAAGGGTGATGTCATAATAGGAGTCAACTATAGACCTCTAACCAGGAAGAAGATGTGGATGAAGGTTTTTTTAAACAACTAACAAAATCATCCGAAGCACAGGACTTGGTGGTGATGGGGGACTTCAACTACCAAGATATCTGTTGGGAAAATAATATAGCAGGGCATAGATTATCCAACAAGTTCTTGGAATGTATTAGAGACAATTTTTTATTTCAGAGGTGGAGAAAGCAACTAGGGAAGAGGCTGTTCTAGATTTGATTCTGAGAAGTAGGGAGGAACTGGTTGAGAATTTGAAAGCGGAAGGCAGCTTAGGTAAAAGTGATCAAGAAATGGTAGAATTCATGATTCTAAGGAATGCTAGGAGGGAAAACAGCAGAATAGATAACGTATTTTGAGAGAGCAGACTTAGGAAACTCAGGGAGTTGGTAGGTAAGACCCATGGTAAGCAAGTCTAAGGGGAAAACAGTTTGAGACGGTTGGCAGTTTTTCAAAGAGTCATTATTAGAGCACAAGAGTAAACTATCCCACTGTGTAGGATAGATAGAAAGTAAGGCAAGAGACCACCCTGGCTTAACCAGGAGATCTTCAATGATCTGAAGCTCAAAAAAGAGTCCTACAAAAAGTGGAAACTACATCAAATTATGAAGGATGAATATAAAAAACAACACAAGCATGTGGGGACAAAATAAAAGCCAAAGCATAAAATGAGATTAAACTAGCTAGAGACATAAAGGGTAACAAGAAAACACTCTACAAATACATTAGAAGCAAGAAAAAGACCAAGGACAGGGTAGACCCGTTACTCAACGAGGGGGGAAAAATAACAACAGAAAATGTGGGGGTGGTGGAAGTGCTAAATGCCTTTTTTGTTTCAGTTTTCACCAAAAAGGTGACTAGAAATTGGACATCTAACACAGTGATCACCAGTGAAAATGAGGTAAGATCTGAGGCTAAAATAGGGAAAGAACAAGTTAAAATTACTTGTCTCTAGATCCGATGCAGCAGATGGAAAAGCGGTTCTCTCTTCAGTTCTGGGCTCCATTCCGTGGCTTCCTTCTCCCTGTGGGGATATGACTCAGGAGTCACCTGAAGGGGAGCACTGATTGAGGCACTACTCAAAGAAAGAGGAGAGATGACTCACCCTGTGCAATAAATGTAGTTCTTCGAAACGTGTCCCTGGGGGTGCTCCAATACCTGCCCTCCTGCCCCTCTGCTTTGGAGTTTCCTCTTTGAGACTTTTTGGTAGAGAAGGAAGTGAGGATGGTTCACCTGCGCAGCTCTATATAGCCTTGGTATGGGGCACGAGGTAGTGAACAAACACTGCTAACGAAAATCTCCAGTCGAAGGAACATGAGGCGAACGCACAACCCAAAGTTGAGTCCTAAGGCCGCACCTATCAAAGAACTAGTTACTACGCAGAGTAAGTAACCTCTCTTTTGTAACCTCTAGCATTCCTTGTGAGTCTCACAACAACAGCACCTAGGACCACCATTTCTCCACCTGCACCTCCAGTTGAGGAGAAAGTTCGCAAGTATTTCCCAGAAACCTGGATGTGGGATTTGTTTTCGGTTGGGTAAGTAGAGCAGTGCCATAACCAAAGATCCAGTCGGATTTTAGTGTTTTACAAAAGTGGGGGAAATTGCTGAGTCGCACACCTAAGAAAATGTTCAGATGCATATACTGTAGACCCTTTAACTACCAGACTGACAGAAATAGGGTTTGGTGGCTGAAATTTCAGTCAGTTTTCTTTTGTTAGATGTCCATGATCATAAGAGCTTGAATCCATTCACTGGAGGCTGGTGATGTATGAATGCAGAGAAACAAACCTGTTGTAGCATTATGATGTTTGTTTGGTATAAGAGTACAATATTATACTATCCTACTGCTGAGAGCAGCCTGTTTTAGCCCTCTAGGAACTGTCCTGCATTAGCCCCCACAGATGGACAGGATGAGCAGAGCTATTCTGTCTAACTCCTACAATTCTTTTGTTGTTTTCCTTTGTGTCTCAGTCTGGGTTCTGTTCAGATCACTGAGAAATAGGGCCCAGGTTCTGCTCACCCTGCCTGCTCTGGGGCAGCTGCCTCTAAATCCATCCTGTCCACCCATTGTCCTCATAGAAGACATCCCTGTTATTTACTTAGTCCACATAACATTCTCATTATACACATCTCTGGCAAAAATTGATTCTCTAGGGTCAACTCAACGGGTCTACCCTGTCATAGATTCATAGATATTTAGGTCAGAAGGGACCATTATGATCATCTAGTCTCACCTCCTGCACAACGCAGGCCACAGAATTTCACCCACCACTCCTGCAAAAAACCTCACACCTATATCTGTGCTATTGAAGTCCTCAAATCGTAGTTTAAAGACTTCAAGGACCAGAGAATCCTCCAGCAAGTGACCCGTGCCCCATGCTACAGAGGAAGGCGAAAAACCTCTAGGGCCTCTTCCAATCTGCCCTGGAGGAAAATTCCTTCCCGACCCCAAATATGGCGATCAGCTAAACCCTGAGCATATGGGCAAGATTCATCAGCCAGAAACTACAGAAAATTCTTTCCTGGGTAACTCGGATCCCACCCCATCTAATATCCCATCACAGGCCATTGGGCCTATTTACCATGAATATTTAATTACCAATACCATGTTATCCCATCATACCATCTCCTCCATAAACTTATCAAGTTTAATCTTAAAGCCAGATAGATCTTTTGCCCGCACTACTTCCCTTGGAAGGCTATTCCAAAACTTCACTCCTCTGATGGTTAGAAACCTTCGTCTAATTTCTAGTCTAAATTTCCTGGTGGCCAGTTTATATCCATTTGTTCTTGTGTCCACATTGGTACTGAGCTTAAATAATTCCTCTCCCTCTCCGGTATTTATCCCTCTGATATATTTATAGAGAGCAATCATATCTCCCCTCAACCTTCTTTTAGTTAGGCTAAACAAGCCAAGCTCCTTGAGTCTCCTTTCATAAGACAGGTTTTCCATTCCTCGGATCATCCTAGTAGCCCTTCTCTGTACCTGTTCCAGTTTGAATTCATCCTTCTTAAACATGGGAAACCAGAACTGCACACAGTATTCCAGGTGAGGTCTCACCAGTGCCTTGTATAAAAGTACTAAAACCTCCTTATCCCTACTGGAAATACCTCTCCTGGTGCATCCCAAGACTGCATTAGCTTTTTTTCACGGCCACATCACATTGGCAGCTCATAGTCATCCTATGATCAACCAATACTCCAAGGTCCTTTTCCTCCTCCGTTACTTCTAATTGATGCGTCGCCAGCTTATAACTAAAATTCTTGTTATTAATCCCTAAATGCATGACCTTACACTTCTCACTATTAAATTTCATCCTATTACTATTACTCCAGTTTACTAGGTCATCCAGATCCTCCTGTAGGATATTCCTGTCCTTCTCTAAATTGGCAATACCTCCCAGCTTTGTATCATCCGCAAACTTTATTAGCAGACTCCCACTTTTTGTGCCAAGGTCAGTAATAAAAAGATTAAATAAGATTGGTCCCAAAACCGATCCTTGAGGAACTCCACTGGTAACCTCCCTCCAGCCTGACAGTTCACCTTTCAGTAGGATCCGTTGTAGTCTCCCCTTTAACCAATTCCTTATCCACCTTTCAATTTTCCTATTGATCCCCATCTTATCCAATTTAACTAATAATTCCCCATGTGGCACGGTATCAAATGCCTTACTAAAATCTAGGTAAATTAGATCCACTGCATTTCCTTTGTCTAAAAAATCTGTTACTTTCTCAAAGAAGGAGATCAGGGTGGTTTGGCACGATCCTTGGTCTTTCTCTTGCTTCTCATTTCCTACTGCTGGAGATGTAAATCTAGTTATCTATTGGCAGGTGATTTTCTCCTCTGTGATGAAGCATAGGGTTATTGTCTTAATAGTCACTGTGATGTCATCCACTAACTCAGCTACACTCATTCAGTGCAGAATCACTACTACTATGTGTTGTAAACTTGGCATAGATTTAGGGCTGCCAACTTTCTAATAGCACAAAACTGAACACCTTAGCCCTGTTCCTTCTCCAGGACCCCACCCACTGCCCCGTCCCTTCTCTGAGGTCCCACCCCTGCTCACTCAATTCCCCCTTCCTCCATGGCTTGCTCTCCCCCACCCTTACTCACTTTCACTGGGCTGGGGCAGGGGGCTGGGGTGTGGGAGAGGGTGAGGTCTTTGGCTGGGGGTACGGGCTCTGGTGTGGGGTCAGAGATGAGGGGTTTGAGGTGAAGGAGGGGGCTCTGGGTTGGAGTTGAGGGGTTTGGAGCGTGTAGGGGAGGGGCTCAGGGCTGGGGCAGGGGGTTGGTGTGTAGGAGGGGGCTCAGGGCTGGGGTAGTGGGTGTGGGCTCTGGCCGGATGGTGCTTACCTCAGGCGGCTCCGGTGGGCCCCCAATGGGCTAGCACCGATTCTGAGTTCTGACTTGCAGTCTGCTGACACAAATGCTGGCGCACTGCTCCAGTGCTGTGGTGTGCTCCGGCTGGCTGCATGGAGAGGCTCAGCCAGAGCAGGGATTCCTGTGCATGGCCTGAGGGGAGTCCAACACCAGCCTCCAGCGCAGGAAGGCTCAGGCTGGTAAATATCCAGCTGGGAGGGCACAAATGCTTTGCCTCCCCACCCCATGCCTAGTGCTGCTCATGGGCGGTGTCGCTGCGGCTTGCAGTGCTGGGTCTCCGCAGGATCCTCACTGCCAGGGTGGACCGGCCACAAGGGGGCTGTGCAGCACTGGCTGCCTCCCTCCGAGTTCCTCTTCGACACGGTGCTCGCCCTTCATTCTTCGCAGCCAGAAATAGTGGCCTGGCTGGGGCTAGGTGGCGGTTCAGCCGGAGGATGAGTGACTGGGTGGCAAGCCGCCTAGGAGCTGGACTTGCTGGCCGCTTCTGGGAGCTGCGCGGAGCCATGGCAGGCAGGGAGCCTGCCTTAGCCCCGCTGCAGTGCTGACAGGAGCCGCCAGGGTCCCTTTTCAACAGGGCATTTGGGTCAAAAACTGGACACCTGGTAACCCTACATAGACTCGACAGGACAGGACAGGCCCCTAACGTGCCCTCACATTTTGACTGTCTTCCTAGCACACAGGAGTGGGAGTCACGAGACTTTGATTCTATTGCTTGGCTCTTCCACTAACTCTCCCTGCCCTTGGGCAAGTCACTTCACCTCTCTGTTCCTCGGTTTCCTCACCTGTGAAGTAGGAGTAATAATAATCACCTATGTTTGTAAAAAGGCTTTTAGATCCACAGGTGGTGAATGCTGTCTGTGAAAAGTGCCAGGCATCATTATTAATGAAATCTCTCTGGCTAGTGGCAGAATCTTGTTCTGTTGCTGTGAGCACCTGAGGCAGGGTACCCTCGCCCTAACTAAAGCCAGTCTGACTCATTAATAATCAGGGGCCAGAATTATTCCTGTCAGAAATTTTAACAGTGAAAGTTCCATCTCGGAGCTCTACAAGGCTGGGTGGGGAATTTAGAGATTCAAAGGTCATCTACAATTGAATCCAAGTTGACTTCAATGGAAGTTGAGGGTATTTAGTATTTTGCAGGATTGGATTATTTACTGATGTGTATAACACAATTGAACAGTGAGTTTTTGAAAATTCTGTCTATGGTATGAGTGAAGAACAGAGATGGGCCCAAGCCACAAAACTGGGGATGTGGGTTTGGATCCAGATTTCAAAGGCCCCATAGTTCAGGTTGTTCTGATTGCAGTCATTGGATTGGGTGCTTTGGGAATAAGGGCTCTATGCCTTCTTGAGACATGAGCAGCTGGTGCCTTCTAGTAAAGGATTTTATTTCTGCATGGTTTTTCTCTCAGTCCCACTGGAAACAGGGATGTCCCAGTCACGGTGCCTGACACCATCACTGAGTGGAAAGCGGGGGCATTCTGCACATCAGAGGTGGGCTTTGGACTTGCCCCAACCACGAGCCTCCTGGCTTTCAAGCCTTTCTTTGTAGAGCCCACACTGCCATACTCTGTGATCCGGGGAGAGACTTTCACCCTGAAAGCTACTGTCTACAACTACCTGCTGCAGTGCATCAAGGTGAGTCCTGCTGGTGGCTCTGTAAGGAGTGAGGGGTCAGGGTGGGTGAGAGGTCACCTTGGTCCCTGACTCACCCTGGGAGCAGGTGGGCATAGCATGTTGCTCATCATCTCCTGGACTGTTTGCACCCACTGCTGTCCCTTAGATCAAAGTGGCCCTGGCTGAGTCCCCAAACTTCCAGTTGGAGCCATGTGAGGGTTGCGTCTACACCAGCTGCTTGTGTGCCAGTGAAGCCAGGACATTTCATTGGAGAGTCACAGCTAAACAACTAGGTGAGGAGCATGGCGGGATGAGGGAGAAACAGCCAGGGAGGGGGCAGTTGTGCCAATTACTGGACTTCAGTGCAGATTGCACTGGATAGAAGAATGGAGTATGTAGCCTTTTAGCTTTAGGGCATCAGTTGCCACCTAGCCTCAAGTCAGGGGCACTGGCAAGATCAGGAATGGGACAAATCATCTCTAGGCCACTGGTTCCATTCATTGTCTCTGGTAGGTGACATCTATAGAAGTAATGGAGGGTGTTTTCCACAGGGGATGGCTGCTGGACAATCTGTCTTCTATTGTTTTTAGGGTCAGTGAACATCACCCTTAGCACAGAGGCCCTGGCCACCAAAGATCTCTGTGGAGGGGAGGTACCAGTTGTACCAGAGAGAGGACGGACAGATACACTGATCAAACCCCTTTTAGTCCAGGTCAGTTTGGGACTGGACTAAGCTCTTTTCTCATAGCTAAAGGGGAGGACATCTGAAATCATGTTTTGCTCAGCCCCCATACTCAGTGGGGTGAAGTTTGGGGTCTGAAATTGCCCCCTCTTATTTAGGGGAACTAACTGGCATCTGCAGGCCTGAGCCAGGGTCTAGCTGGGTCCCTCCAATAAGGATCAAAGGACATGCTTCATGCTTCTGAAGGAGGTTACCTCTACTTTATGCCAACCTCGATCCCTTTGTGCCCACTTCTGCGGGCAACCTTATCCCCCTCATGCCCTGGCATCAGGGCTTGCCTTGTGTCCATTGATTCTGCCTCCTCTATGCCCCATCTGAGATGCTGGGATAACGGAATGCAGCCCCTCATGTAGGCCCTACTGCAGAGGCCCCTCGCCTGGGAATCAGCCTTGTCAGGAGCTCTGAGGTCCTTGAGTTGCATGGAGCAAGAAACCAGACAGATGTCTGAAAAGGAGGGCTTCTCACATAAGCCTGCCATGAAAACACATGTGGTTCATAACCTATTTGTAACCCTATGTCTCTCCTCCCTCCACTTCCTCTCTGGTCCCCAATGCTGCTATCTCCTCCCCGATAGCCAGAGGGAGTTCTTGTGGAGAAGGCTCACAGCTCCTTGCTTTGCCCTAAAGGAGGTAGGTGGGCTGCTCAGATGGGAAAAAGGGGCATAAGCAGGTGGGTAGGGGGGCTCTGTTGCCCTGGGAAAGTTGGCTCAGGAGCAGCCTTTGTGTTTTATCTGAAGGAGGTAGGTAAGATCACATCTTGTCTGTGCAGGGCCCAGTGCAGGATTGTTCCTTGTTCTTCAGGGTTTTGTCCAGTCGTAGCTTTAAATGATTGAAGTAATGGGGCAGTCACCCTTTCCCTTGGGGGTCACGTTTCCACTGTATCACTGCAAGAAAATGCTTCCTCATATCCAGACTCAAATGTCTCCCTTTCACCTGACTTACCCCTTCTGAGGCCCCTTGCTAACCAATTCCTGGGTTTTCATAGACAGAGATCATGTCTGCTGCTTTGTCATCTTGGCCAAGCTATATAAGTTGATTCCAATTTGAAAGGCAATGGGAGCTCCCTCTGAATAAGGACAGCAGGACTGAGCCTATAATATAAATGTCCTTTCTGCTAGCATAAGGGTGAAAGCTCCTTCCCTTAGGCAACTAAATATAGCATAGATACAGCTCTGGACTGATCCAGTCTATAGGGAACAGTCCTGCATTGGCCCCTAGAGAATGGACAGGAGGGGATTTCAGAGCTTGGTTCCCATCTCCATGTTTTCCATGGTTTATGACAAGGCCATTAGCAGAGTTAGAGAGATCTAGAGGTCCAGGTAAATAGACTAAACATGCCTTTACCTCTGAGGTTTGAACTGTGATGGAGTCACTGAAGCAGGAAGAATCAGGGAGGTTGCTCTGGACAGTGTGGGCGGCAGGGGAGAAGGCTCTTGCACCCACAATGGGGGAAATAAAGTGGAGGAAGAGAGAAGTGAGGGCTAGGTGAGTGGAGGGGGCAGGGAGGAGAGCAGGGGGGGGGGTCTGTGGGGTCGGCTGGAAGTTCCGCAGCGGGGTACGTGAGATGCGGGAGCACAGCTGCCTCTAGTGGGAGAGTTTTCTGGGGATTTTGGAGGCCATTTTTTCTGATTCTCTTCCTGTTTGACACCTGGGTCTCAGTAACTCCAGCGCAGGATTCTGTGTCCCTGGAGCTGCCCCCGGATGTGGTCGAAGGTTCAGCGAGAGCCACCATCTCTGTCATGGGTAAGGAATTCGGCCCTGGGCGCCGTGGGCAGGGGGCTCTGAACTGACTCTGATCCAGACCCTACGTCTCTGAATATGGCCCTGGGGAAGCCCAAACCGTGAACCACCAAAACTTCCACTGATGTTTGACAAAGTCCAGGCCATTTTCCTCCCATTTCCATGGGGGCGTTTCCAGGTTCCAGCTGGGACTGGATGCACCAAAATACCCAGCAGGAGAGAGGCTGTTCTGCTTGTGGAAGCCTCTGGCAGTGACCAAAAACAGCAGCCGCTGCCCACAGGGGATTGCAGGAGGAAAGGCCTGGATCCCCCCACCCTGCCATCTCCTCTCCCTGGTGTGTCAGCCCTGAGAGGTTCCAGTAAAGTCCAAATTCTAGACACTGAGCTTCCGCGTTCTGATCCCAGCCCAGGCGCTGAATGCTGGGAAGGGAACCTTGCCCTCCCCCCATCTAATGGACCATTCCACCAGTGAGAGGACCCACCTCTTGTTATAATGGAACAGTCCAACAGGGAGGTGGGAAAAGACCCTCCTTATAAAAGAATGCTCTACCTGAGAGGGAAAATACCGCCCCGCCCCTAAATTGCTTTAATGGTAAAATAACCCCCACACGCATGCACACAATGGAATGTTCTATCAGGGATGTGAAACAACCCGCCCTCTGAGAGTATTTGCAGTGGGAGGAGAAAATAACCCCCAGTGCAATGGAGCAGTTCCTTTCCCAGGGTAAAAATAAACCTTCACTGTAATAGAATATTCTATGGGGTGGAAAGACCCCATGCAGCAATGGAGTCCTCCCAAGGAAAGGAAAATACCCCTTAACGGAAGGTTCCACTAGGGTGAGAACAACATCTCCACCCCCATACTTCAGGCTGCAATTCCACCAGGGGACAGGGCTACCATCACCATGCTATAGGGTAGGGTGACCAGATGTCCCGATTTTATAGGGACAGTCCCAATTTTGGGGTCTTTTTCTTATTTAGACTCCTATTACCCTCCACCCCCACCCCTGTCCTGACTTTTCACACTTGCTGTCCCGTCACCCTACCATGCTATAATGGAACATTCCAACAGGAGAACTAACCTCCCTGCCTCTCAGCCAGTCAGGATTTATCCCGGTAGCACCATCTGGGTTTCTCTCTGCTTTGTCCTGCCCCGGCAGGTGACATCATGGGGACGGCGCTGCAGAACCTGGACCGGCTGGTGCAGATGCCCAGTGGCTGCGGGGAGCAGAACATGGTGCTGTTCGCCCCCATCATCTACGTGTTGCAGTATCTGGAGAAGACGGGGCAGCTGACCCCAGAGATCAGGGAGAGGGCGACGGGATTCCTGCGCAGCGGCAAGTATCCTGAGCCCAGCTCCAATAGTGTCCAATCTGGCACCGGCCACGCCAATAGCCCCTCTCCTGCACCTACCCTGTCCATTCCTCTGTCTGGCACTCATGTAAATACCTGTAACAATGATCTTGTAAACACTTCATTACCCCCACTCAGTGACCACTCTGTAAATGTCCTCTCCCTGGCACTGGTGGGTGACAGTATAATTTTCTGCACTGCTCTCCAGGGTACCAGAGGCAGCTGCTCTATAAACACCATGATGGCTCCTACAGCGCATTTGGTACCATAGACCAGGAAGGTAACACCTGGTAAGTTCTGGGGTAGTTCTCTCATTCCCTGAAGGCTGGGAGCCGGGAGCCTATGAACTGGGGGAATTAGGTAGTCACTGACCCCTCAGGACTCTTCCCAGTGCTGCATGGGGAAGATTATATAAGATTATATGTCATGCTGTGAATTGTACATGCCCCCCTACTTCATGATAGGCCCATAGTGCCTCAGACAAGCCATGGGAATGCAGCCGCCTCTGGGATAGAGGACAGTAACTGGGCAGAGAAATGGGACTGAGCACATGACACAACAATGGGGGAGGGGTGCTCTGACCAAGGACTGACCTCCTCCTCCTGCTGCTCCCTCTTCCTCACTCACTCCTTTGCCTCTTGCTTTCTCTTTCTTCCTTCCTCTCTCCCTCTCTTTTATCCACATTCTCATTCACTCTGTCTCTGTTCTCTCCCTCTCCTCGTCCCCCTCTTCCACGCTCTCTCTCCCCACCCCTAGGCTGACAGCGTTTGTGGCCAAGTGCTTTGGCCAGGCCAGGCCATACATCTTCTTAGATGACAGGAACATCCGGGATGCACTGAGCTGGCTGCAGATTTACCAGTTGGCCAGCGGCTGCTTCAGGAGCGTGGGGAAGCTCTTCCACACAGCCATGAAGGTAATGATGTGGCGCCTGCCGGCCCCGCGCAGAACTCCACTGGCAGTCATGGGGCTTGACTCAGCTCGGCTTCCTTGACACTTCGTCCCTCTCTGCCTTGTGGGGTTTTCAGTTCAGGGGAGGGAGGGGATTCAGGGGCCTTTATAGGGATGGAGGGGAGGACACTGGTCCCCATCCTGCTTGAGCCCCTCTCCTAGCTCTGGGTGTTTGTGCTTCTTGCAGGGCGGCGTGGATGGGGAGGTGCCCCTGGCTGCCTACATCACTGCAGCACATCTGGAGATAGGGGAAGCACTGAATGTGAGTATTAGGGCCCTTTCATGTGCCACTCCTGCTCTCTGGACACCCTGAGTCCTGCAGAGCTGAGAGCTCAGTGCCGGCACTTCACTCACCTGCATGCCTTGCTGGGGTGGGCATGGGCAAGGCACTCCTCGGGGGAGGAGCTAGCACCTGCAGTCAAGAGGAGGGCACTGCTGGGGTAGGGAGAGAAGTCCAACCACTCCACAGGGAGGGCACTGCTGGGAAAAGCTCGCAGTGCCCCATGGGGAGCACATCACTGGGAGGGAGCTCATGTGGATGGAGTCCTGTTGCTTTTAATCACACTAACATCCCAGTAGATTCCCAGCGGAGGTACAAGGCATTGACCTGGAATTTGGTGGCTATTTGTGGAGGGGTACTGATGTGTACCCAGGCGAAGCAGCGTGAGGATTGTCCCAGGTGCCAGCATCTGCCTTTGCATATCAACCCATGTGCACTTGTACCTCTGTGTGTCAGCCTGCCTGTGTGTACGTACTCCCACACGTGTGCATGATTGTATGACTGTGCAGCCATTGCCAGTGTGTACTTTCTCCCCCCACAGAGCTCCGTGGTGAACAAGGCCTTGAGCTGCCTCACTAGTGCCCTCCCCAACGTTACCAGCACCTACACGCAGGCACTGCTGGCCTACGCCTTTGCTCTGGCCCAGGACAACCAGCGCACACAGGAGCTGCTCACTAAACTAGACCAAAAAGCCATCAGAACAGGTACCAGGACTGCACAGCATTGACTGACACACAGAGATGGGGCATGCCAGGGAGAATGTGACAGATCAGAGCATGTGTCTTGCACCCCAACTCCTCCCGCCCCTGGCCTGTGTCTGGGCTCCCCAACCTGGGCTGTGACTGGACATTATGGCCAGATCTTTTGAAAGAGCCCAGCTCCCATTTATGCAACAAAGCATTTGACCAAATTTTCAAAAGCACCTAGTCTGTTGGGAGCTGAGCTCTTTGAAAATCTGGCCGCAAGCATCACAATGGGAGCCTCATGGATCTGGCTGGATGTGCCCTTCTGAGCCACCTACCGAACTTCTGTAAGGGGAATCCAAGCCTTGGGGTTCCTGGGTCCCCAGGGCATTTTAAGCTTACAGAGCCTGAACAGTAAAGTACAGATCATAAAAAACAATAAACATCTGGAACTGTTTAGTAATGGCCGTCGCTTTCTGTAATGTCTCACCCTTCCCTTCGCTGTCCTTAGGGACCATCAGTGGCCAGGGAGGAAGGCAGGGTGTCACCTGACTCAGGCAGGCTGTTACATGGTGGGTGTCAGCTTCTGGGTGACCTTGCCAACTCTTGCTGCACACTTCCAGTCTGGCTCCCTCTGTTCTTGTGTGTCTCACTATGTAAACCCCACCCTTTGTTCTGTCTTTTGGGTAACTTTCTACTGCTCCTGCCTTCCTACCTGCATTCAGAAGGGAAAGCTAAAACTGGTTTTCTAAGGATGCAGCTGCTTTTAAGCTTAACCTATGTGCGGTCTAAGTATTCCCCACTATCCCTGTCTGCTGCATACCTGAACAGATCCTGTCAGCAGTGGTAGATCCACATATGTATAGGTGTGCATGATGCAGCAGTATTTCATAATACAACTTCACAATATCAAGCAGAATTCGTAAGTTGTACAGAGATATTCCCAATTCATCACAGTGAAGTGCTGGGCTCTTTTGGGAGTAAACCCTTATTTAGGTGCCTAAATGGAAGTTGAGTTCTTTGAAAATCTGGTCCAGTGTGTGCAGGGCTGTGATATGCCAGGCAGAGGAACTGGGTAGGGAACAAGCTACAAGAATCATATTCGTTACTCGTCTGTGTGGCTGCATGGGGGGCATTTATCTGGCGGCCTGGGTGGCTGTCCACCTTGCACTGGGTAGTGGCCATTTCCTGAGCAATCTGGGTAGCCTCTTGTGTAGGTAGTTTTGGTGTATTTACCTAGCAGTGTGTGTAACTGCAGGTATTTGATATACAAGGTATTTACCTAGGAACTTGGGTCCTTCAGGTGTAATATGCAGCGATGGGTTTGTCACACAGCAACCCAGGTAGTTGAGAGGTATTTTCCCAGTGTTCTGTGCCACCCCAGGCAGTGGGACCCTCCCCCTCTATGGGAACTAGAGTGAAGGGTTTGGCTGATTGAGTCACATTTACCCCATAGCAACTCTTACCTCATCCAAGGCCTGAGGATTTCTCTCTCAATAGCCTCCTGTTTTATTCCCCCTTTCCCAGGAGGGCAGATTCACTGGAGCCAGGCCCCCTCCCTGCCCCCTAGTGCTGGTGTGTGGTCCCAGCCCCAGTCGGTGGACGTGGAGCTGACGTCCTACGTGCTCCTGGCCCTGCTCTCCAAGCTGAACGTCACTGGGGCTGACGTTGGCACAGCCTCGGGCATTGTGGCCTGGCTCACCAAGCAGCAGAACGCCTATGGTGGCTTCGCTTCCACGCAGGTAACACAGGCCTGACGGCTGAGGGAGGTGATCGGCCGTGATCCCACTGGAGATGGAGTCTCTGCGTTGCGGCTGTGGGAATATGACAGTTATCAGTGCTCTGGGGTGTGCATACCTCTGGGTGCAGGGACTGGGAGGATGAATCCTGGAGCTAGTGCCCTGGAGTGCAAAGGTACACTGAAGCAGTGAATCCTGATTTCAGTGCCCTCAATTGCTGAGATCCTACTGTTCTGAGTGTTTCACACTTCTGGCTCCAAAGAGCACCCCTTTCTGTCTCACATACAAACAGTGAGATGACTGTCTCTCTCTCCCCAGGACACAGTGGTTGCCCTGCAGGCTTTGGCCAAATACGCGGCCCTGACGTACAGCGAGAAGGGAGACTTGGAGGTGATAGTGAAGTCCAAGGGGAGCTTTGAGAGAGAGTTCCAGGTCACCCACAAGAACCGGCTGCTCCTGCAGCAAGCGCTGCTAACAGAAATCCCCGGGGAGTTCGCAGTGCAGGCCCAGGGCAGCGGCTGCGTCTATGCCCAGGTGAGACGCCCCTTCCATGGGGAGGGATGTAGCCCCCATGGGTGTCCCTCTTGCAGGGCCTGATCCACAAAACACATTGTCATGGTCAAAGAGAGCCATTTCCCTTGCTTACTCAGCAGCCAGGTCCCGGGGGATGCTCAGGCACATGGAGGGCTGACTAACAGCAGCTTTCCTTACCATCCCCTTCCCCACTGCTGTACCCCTGCACCCCAAGGGTGATCCTGTGACAAAATGTGGGTAAACATGAGGATGGCTGGTCTCACGCTGCTCCCAGGGTGCTAGGGGAACTGGAGATTGTGTGTAGGTGTGATGTTTGCCCCTTAAGGAGAAGAACCCAAGTCCCAGCTATACGAGATGAGATCTCCTATAGCTCTTGTGCTAGAGGCCTGTGTTCCTGGGACTGAAACATCAGGGTTCTAGCCCAGCTCCCCATGTGTGGTTTATGTAGTTGTTGTGTCTGGGGTTTAAGGATCTGAGCAGTAACTAGAGCCAGTGGAAGAGCATGAAATGTGATTAGGGAACCCAAGTGATGAGTTGGGTTCACTCTGATCCATGAGGACTTACTGGTGAGGATATGGGCAGGTATTAGTGAAAATGGTCCAAATCTTGTCAGTTTTAAAAAGGATGTTGACAAATTGGAGCAGGTTCAAAAAAGAGCTACAAGAATGACCTGTGACCTTGAAAGCCTTCCTTTGCCATGAAAGACTAAAGAAGCTCAATCTATTTAGTTTATCCAAGAGAAGGCTAAGAGGTGACTTGATCACCGTCCACAAGTACCCATGTGGGCAGCAGACTTCTGATAGTAGAGGACTCTTCTATCTAGCAGACAGAGGTATAACAAGATGCAATGGCTAGAAGCTGAAGCTAGTCAATTCACTTTAGAAACCAGGTGCAAATTTTTACCAGTGAGGGTGATTAAACATTGGAATGATTTATGAAGGGATGGGATGGATTCTCCATCACTGGCAGTCTTTCAATCCAGACTGGCTATCTTTCTCAGAGACATGCTGTAGCTCAAACAGCAGTTATGGGCTTGCTGTAGCAATTACTGGGTGAGGTTCTATGGCCTGTGTCATGCAGGATGTAAGATGAGATGGTCATAGTGGCCCTTTCTGGCCCTAAAATCTAGGAAACTACTAAACCTTTATCTCCAAATGATGATCCAACTAAAATTCTCTGTAGCAGCCTGTCTCTTTCCTCTGCAGACCGTGCTGAGGTACAACGAGCCTCCCCCACAGGTCTCTGTGACCTTCTCTCTGCGCGTCACCACGCAGCTGATCGACTGCGCCAAGGGTGACATGCGCGTTGTCACCGTCCGCATCCATGTCAGGTGACCCCGAGATTTCCCCTGTGTATGCACCGCTGCCCTCGGACGCACCCCCTACCTGGAGCAGATGAGGGAGTGTCAGAGAGCTGGTTGGGTTTAGTGGCTGGGAGGGAGGGACTGCACGTTTTGAAGAGGAAGGGGTGGAGGACGAATTTGGCAGCTGTGAGGGAAGGGGGAGGAAGGGACCAGGTGCTTCTGGGAGAGGCTGTAACCATGAAGTGTGGTTGGAGTTGACTTGCTTGTTGGTGGTGGGAGGAGGAAGGAAAAGTGCCCCTTTAACATCCTCCTAGAGAGATACAGAGAGGGGAGTTGCTGGGGGAGAAACGGGGGTGGTGGGGGGGGAACGGGACCTGTGTCTGTTCAAAGCAGGGAAATCATCTTAAACATCCTCCTTCAGCAAGCAGTGAATGCCAAGGGACCATCCAGGGCCTGGTGCCTGCATGAGGAGGAAAGATGGGGTATGGAGGCGGTGGAGGAAGATTTATAGCCTCATTTAGCCCCCTGCTCATGGGGTCTTTGACCATCTGCATCCTTCCTCTCTCCCCCTGCCCCAGCTACATCGGGAGCAGAGTCACTTCCAACATGGTGATCGTGGAGGTTTCCGTATTGTCCGGATTCAGCCTTGCTTCAGGCTCCCGCACATCAGTAAGGCACCTGGGGAGCAGAATGGGGGCATGGCGAAAGGGTCCCATCCGGTCAGTGCTGGTGGGATCTATCCTTAGCCAGGGGGAGGAGGCAGGATGATGTCACCTCCTGACTCCCTCGGACATTTAAACCCCAAAGCTGGGTGTAGAACCCCAGACACATGCCTTGAGAAGGAGCCCAGTCCCAATGACCCAAGCAGATCCCTGTCCCTCATCTCACAGGAGCTGAGCGACCATGTGGAGAGATCAGCCCTAATGAGGGGGGAGAGCTCTGATGAGGGCCTGGCTAGGGGAGGGGTAATAAGAGTCCATCTACTTTCTGGCTATAGGGGTTGCCAACAGGGAGGCTGCTCGAGGCCTAGTGGGGGGAACATTTCAATAGGAATTCTCACCCTCGCCCCCTCAGAGACCCCACTCAACCATTACCTTTCCTCTTCTCTCCTGTTCCAGTTGCAGAGCAGTCCCCTGGTGAGGAAAACGGAGGTGAGCCAGAGCGGTGTCTCCATCTACTTGGACCAGGTAGGTCTGATTTGAGATCAGGACAGGAATAGCAGGGGAGCTGCAGGGCAGGGCTGAGGGGGGACTGGCAGAGCGGTGTGGAGAGCCCTGGAATGGAATAGCAGGGGAGCTGCAGGGCAGGGCTGGGGGCATTGGCAGAGCGGTGTGGAGAGCCCTGGAATGGAATAGCAGGGGAGCTGCAGGGCAGGGCTGGGGGGCATTGGCAGAGCGGTGTGGAGAGCCCTGGAATGGAATAGCAGGGGAGCTGCAGGGCAGGGCTGGGGGGCATTGGCAGAGCGGGGTGGAGAGCCCTGGAATGGAATAGCAGGGGGGCTGCAGGGCAGGGCTGGGGGCATTGGCAGAGCAGTGTGAAGAGCCCTGGAATGGAATAGCAGGGGAGCTGCAGGGCAGGGCTGGGGGGCATTGGCAGAGCGGGGTGGAGAGCCCTGGAATGGAATAGCAGGGGGCTGCAGGGCAGGGCTGGGGGGCATTGGCAGAGCGGTGTGAAGAGCCCTGGAATGGAATAGCAGGGGAGCTGCAGGGCAGGGCTGGGGGGCATTGGCAGAGCAGGGTGGAGAGCCCTGGAATGGAATAGCAGGGGGGCTGCAGGGCAGGACTGAGAGGGACTGGCAGAGCGGTGTGGGGAGCCCTGGAATGGAATAGCAGGGGGGCTGCAGGGCAGGGCTGGGGGGCATTAGACAAGGCTTTCCACGGGTAGCCCTATCACAGCACCTGAGTTCCTGATTCTCATTAAATTCCTGCCCAGACTCCAGCAGAAGTAGCACAGTCAGTCTCTGGAGCCAAATTTAGGGAAGTAATGAAATAAACAGCTCACCAGTGAAGCATCTCCTCTCCCTCCAACCCCCCACCCCCAGCTGAGCAATACGACTCAGACATATGCCCTGCAACTGGAACAGGAGATCGAGGTGATCAACCTGAAGCCAGGACACATCAGAGTCTACGACTACTACCAGCCAGGTGGGTTGCTGAGCTGCTGGGGCATCTGGGCCGGCGAGGAGGGGGTGTCTCTGTGGAGGTATAACTTGGATTCCTTGTCTCCCTGTGCAGAGGAGCAGGCCCTGGCTAATTACAGTGCCATCTGCAGCTGAGGTAGGTGTGAAGTCCATGGACGTGACTCTCTGCTCCCCTCCCTTCCCCCTCTGTGCATCTGGCACTAGCCTCTGTGCCCCTCACACAATGCCCCCCCCCAGGTTGGCACGATGGCCCCTCCTGCTGCCAGGAACAGCCCCCAGTGTCTCTGCGCTGGAAATGTCTGCCTTCCCAGCTCTCAGGGGCTCCCTCTCCCCTGTCGTACTGAGCTTTGCAGTGGGGTCTTTAGTATACTCCCCACGCGACAGGGCATGGTCCTGGGGCAGGCACCACACCAATGACAGCAGTGGGACCTTGCTACCAAACGTTAGACCTTTATAATGTGCTCCTCATGGGGCTGTGCATGGGGGACGTCTGGGAGCTTCGGCTAGTGCAGAACATGGCTGCCCCTGCGTTGCGTGGTGTGTCATGTCTGACATCAATACTCCATGATCACCCTGGCTCCAAGTAGCGTGCCCATGTGGAGTTCATGGTGCTAGATCAGAGGTGGGCAAACTACGACCTGCGGGCCACATCCAGCCCGCGGGACCCTCCTGCCCAGCCCCTGAGCTCTTGGCCCCGGAGGCTAGCCCTCAGCCCCTCCCCCGCTGCTCCCCCGCAGCCTCAGCGTGCCATGCTGCCGGTGTAGTGTATTAAACTGCTCCGCGTAGGAATGTGCTACCGGTCGCAGTTGCGGAGAGCAATTTACTACACTGCACTAAAGCAACGCTCTGGGTGGCGCGGCTGTAACGCCGCCAGCCACCGGTGCTCTGTGCTGCGCAGTAAGGGGTCACGGAGCGGGGGGGGAGGGGGGTTTGAATAGAGAGCAGGGGAGTCGGGGTGGTGGTCAGGGGCGGGGGGGTCGATGGTGGGGCTAAATGGGGGCAGAGGTCCTGGGGGGCAGTCAGGAAGGAGGGGGGGTTGTATGAGGTGGTAGGGGGCAGTCAGGGGAAGGCATTCCGGGGGCAGTCAGGGGACAGGGAGTGGGGGTGGGGGCGAATGATGGGGGCAGGGATCCTGGGGGGGCTGTCAGGGAACAGGGGGGGTTGGATGGGGCAGGAGTCCCGGGGGGGGCCGTCGGGGGGGCAAGAAGTGGGCGGGGGCACAGCCTGGCACAGCCTCCCCTAACTGGCCCTCCATACAATTTCCGAAACCCGATGTGACCCTCAGGCCAAAAAGTTTGCCCGCCCCTGTGCTAGATCATGGTGAAGAAAGCGCTAAATGGTTTGGTACCTGGCTCCCAGAGAGCCCCATTTCACTTTCTGGGCCATTCTGCTGCAGCTGAGAGAGCAGAGTCATTGGAGCTGGAACTCCTTCCGATTAAATGAGAGGGGTATTCTCATTGCGAGCCCACAGCTCTGGAATTCACTTCCCACCCCCGAGTCTGAACAGCTAAGTTCACCTTCCAGACACACTGCAAAGCCCATGCCCCTTTTTCGTACCAGCTCATAGAGGGTTCCTGCATGGAGATGGAAGAGAGTGGATGGTGATTTGGGTGGTGGTATAATTCCTTGCTCTCTGTCTCTCTCTCTATGCTCAGTATCATCTCTTCAGTCTCACCATCTCAGTCTGCTTTACTCTCATTTTATCTCTGATCCACTCCCCTTCCTAATTGTCTCCTAGGTGATCTCCCCCTTTCTGTTCCAGCACACAGGGAGGAAGATGTCAGATGGAAGTCGGGCTCCCAGCAGCAGGCCCTGCCCCCGTTCAGCAGGATTCCTGAGCTGTCCTTGCTGGATCGAGGGGACAAGGGGCTGGGACATTGGCACTGGGTGGGTGGGGGATCTCCATGGGCTTCATATTGGATTGCAGGACTAGGCTCAGGCTAACATTCCTCGCCCCAGTAGCCATTTCCTGGTGAATTTTTTTGTGTGTCTGATTATTTTTGATCATTTGAATCTGGGAATTTTCTTGAGTCTGAAAAGAATAAAAATAAAATGGAAATCACATACCCCAGACACTGCGGTATTTGATTGGACTCCATAACAACAGTCATCCCAGAAGAAATTTGTGGGTAATTTGTGAGGCTGACGCTACTGGTGTGTCCCTGACATTCACTTCTGTTCTCCCAGTGATAATTTCATAGATTCATAGGCCAGAAGGGAACCATTGTGATCATCTAGTCTGATCTAGTGTATAACTCAAGCCATAGAACTTCCCAGAAATAATTCCTAGACCGGATCTTTTAGAAAAAAAAACATTCAATCTTGATTTAACAATTGTCAGTGATGAAGAATCCACCACAATCCTCAGTAAATTGTTCCAATTGTTCATTAATCCCACTGTTAAAAATGTATGCCTTATTTCCAGTCTAAATTTGTCTAGCTTCAATTTATAGCCTTTGGAGCATGTTATACCTTTCTGTGCTAGGCTGAAGAGCCAATTATTAAACATTTGTTCCCCGTGTTGATATTTATAGGCTGTAATTGAGTTATCCCTTAATTTTCTCTTTAAGCTTTAATAGATTAAGCTTTTTGAGTCTATTTTCTGATCCTTTAGTCATTCTTATAGCTCTTCTCTGAACCCCCTTCAATTTATTAACAACCATCTTGAATTTTGGGCACCAGAACTGGACACAGTATTCCAGCAGCGATCTCACCAGCCCCAAATATGGAGGTAAAATAACCTTTTTACTGCTACTCGAGATTCCCCTGTTTATGCATTCCAGGGTCACGTCAGCTTTTTTTGCCATCACACTTGGAGTGCATGTTCAGTTGATTATCCATCACAACCCCCAGATCTTTTTCAGTCGCTGTTTCCCAGGATAGAGTCCCCCATCCTGTAAGTAGGGCCTACATTCTTTGTTCCTATATGTACACATTTACATTTAGCTGTGCTAAAATACATATTATTTGCTTGCATCCAGTTTACCAAGCAATCCAGACAGCTCTGAGCCAGTGACCTCGCCTCTTCATTATTTACCACTCTCCCAATTTATGTCATCTGCCAACTTTATCAGTGATGATTTTGTTTTTTTACAGATCATTGATAAAAAAGGCTAAATAGCATAGGGCCAAGAACCAGTCCATGCAGGACCCCACTAGAAACACACCTGCTTGATGATTATTTCCTGTTTACAATCACATTTTGAGACTATCCGTTAGCCAGTTTTTAATCCATTTAACGTTTGCCATGTTAATTTTATATTGTTCTAGTATTTTAATCAAAATATCATGCAGTCCCAAGTCAAATGCCTTATAGAAGTCAAAATATATTATGTCAACACTATTACATGTATCTGACACACTTGTAACCTCAACAAAAAAAAGATATCAAGTTAGTAGGACAGGATTTATTTTCCATAAACCCATGATGATTTGCATTAATTACATTACCCTCCTTTAATTGTTTATTCATTGAGTCCTGTATAAGTTGCTTCATTATCTTGCCAGCGATTGATGTCAGGCTGTCAGGCCTGTAATTACCCGGGTCATCCCATTTACCCTTTTTAAAAATTGGCACAACATTAGATTTTTTCCAGTCCTCTGTAACTTTCCCAGTGCTCCAAGACTTATTTAAAATGAACATGAATGGTCCAGGAAGCTGCTTGGCCAGCTCTTTTAAAACTCTTGGCTACAAGTGATCTAGACCTGCTAATTTAAAATGTCTAACTTTAGTAACTTCTGTTTAATATCTTTCAGAGATGCTAGTGGAATGGAAAGAGTGTTATCACTTTATGATAAGACTATATCATCTGTTTTTTTCCCCAAATACAGAATAGAATATTTACTGAATACTTCTGCCTTTTCTGATTTATTATAAATAATTAATTCTACCATTTCCATCTAGTAATGGACTAATACCATTTTCAGAATTCTTTTTGTTCCTAATATATTTTTAAAACGCCTTATTGTCATTAACTCTACTGCCCATAGATTTCTCCTTGTGTCCCTTTGCTTCATTTATCAATTTTCTACAATTCTTAGCTTCTGATTTATATTCATTATGATCAGCTTCCCTTTCTTTCATTTGTTAAATATTACTCTTTTTTTTATAGTTGCCTTCACTTCCTCTCTAAACCAGGAGGGTTTTTAACCAGCATGGCCTTCTTCCTCAATTGTGGGATTGCAGCTTTTTGGGCATCTAATAAAGTGTTCTTAAATGATTCCCAATTATCATTCACATTTTTCTAATTAAATTCTTCCTCCCAACTGATTTGCCTAATAATTGTTTTCAGCTGTATGAAATTGGCCCCATTAAAGCATCAAGTATATTTATTACTGGTCTCGACTTTATTCTGTTTGCACAGCATAAGTGTGATCAAGTCATGATCATTTGTATCTATGCCCTCAGGATCCTGCTCAGTATAGATTGCAATTGGGAGTACAGTAGAATCTCAAAGATACGAACACCAGAGTTACGGACTGACCAGTCAACCGGACACCATGTGAAACCAGAAGTAACCAATCAGGCACAAGCAGAGACCAAAAAACATTAAAAAAAAAAAAAAAAAAAAAGAGCAAACACTGTACTGTGCCTGTACTGCATCTTAAAGATAGGCACATCTGTCCTGCCTATTCCCCCCACAACCCTCACGCACTGGGCAGCCACTTACAGCAAGACGCTGGGGCTGCCAGCCCAAGGCAGCCGGAGCCAGAAGAGCAGGAGCAGCGCTGGGGTGTGTGCTGCTTTCATCCCTCCCGCCCGTCAGGGGGACACTTCATTTTCACACCCACCCACCGGGAAGGGGATAAGCTTGCAAGCATGCTGGTGCTGAGTAGGGATTTCAGCTGCTGCTGAAACCTGGCCTGGAGTGTCAGCTGTTGCATCTGAAGCCCGGACTGTGCTTTGTTCGGAGATATGAACATTTCAGAGTTACGGACAACCTCCATTCCCGAGGTGTCCATGACTCTGAGGTTCTACTGTACATAGCTTCTGGGTGCCCAGTCCCCTGTTTCTGTTATTCTGAGATCCCCAACCCTGCTCTGAGGCAAATCCCATAAAAATATCATCTACCTCAAACAACTGTTAAAACCTTTTATCCAGTTAGATCCTCCAGCTGAGCTATAGTGCCCTGCTGATTTTGCACTCCTGCATCAGTGCAAAGCTGAGTCTGTCCTGTGGTGTCTCCTATGGTCCAGCTGCTCTCATTCCAGCATAAAACAGAAAGCTAGAGTGAGGGGGAATGTTTCAGGGGGTAGGTGAGTATAAGAGGGGCATCATTCTGGTTTCCAAAACTCCCATAGGCTGCATGAGCACAGAGATGAGAGCTCAGTGTGTGGGGAAGCTTGCCATCTGTCCTTCCTTGTCTCACACTCCATATCATAGGCGCTGACTTTTGAAGAGGTGTGTGTATTGTGGGGAGGCAGCTCTGACAGTTTTGGGGGGAGGCTATTTTCAGCATATTTATACACTTCTTTCATATTCTAGTTATTGAATATGGTGTCTATAGTGGTATCTTTACCATTTTAATAATGATGAAATTGTTATGAACTACATAATTACATTATCATGAATTACAGTATAGTAAAATCTTTGCAATCCACCTGCAAGCTGTCTTCACGAACATCCCAGTTTACAGACATTACATCTCACTGTAGCTTTCTGGATGAACTGTCAGCAATGTTATTTATATCTAGCTCCCTGGTAGAGTCTTGATGCACGTTAAGCACAGCTACATTATTCACTTGGGTCTGTCCCATTGATGACTGGAGATAATTTTTAAGTTTTCTGGAGCTGGAGAATGAGTGTTCCGCAGTTCAGGATGACACAGGCACCGTGAGAAGGATTCTTATAAATTTGCAGTACTCTGGAAGAATAGTGTTTCCAGAGTACTGCAAATGACTCCACGATCCCTTTCTTGAGGGGTAACAGCTAATTCAAGCACCATCATTTTGTATGTATAGTTGGGATTATATTTTGCCATGTGCATTTCTTTGCATTTAACATTGAATTTCATCTGCCATTGTGTTGCCCAGTCACCCAGTTTTGTGAGATCCCTTTGTAACTCTTTGCAGTCAGCTTTGGACTTAACTATCTTGAGGCGTTTTGTAGCATCTGCAAATTTTGCCACCTCACTGTTTACCCCTTTTTCCAGATCATTGATGAATACGTTGAACAGCACCGGGCCCAGTACAGACCCCTGGGGGACACCACTATTTATTTCTCTCCATTCTGAAAATGGAGCATTTATTCCTATCCTTTTGTTGGGGACACTGGGGCATGGCCACTAGGTAACTCGAGGGGATGGAAGACCACGAGTGTCGATGAAGCCCCCTTGCACTAGGCCCAAGTGTCCTTGGCCCCCCTTTTTTCCCGCCTGGAGGCACTTGCAGCAGCTCTGCGTACTAGGCCCAAGTGTCCTTGGCCCTCCCGCCTGGAGGCACTCACAGCAGTTATGCTGAGGATCTGCAACAATATGTTGCAGAGTCAGACTGCCTCAAACTAAACAAGGCCAAACAGAGCAAATATAAAAAAAAAATGCTAAATAAAACAGCTTTATGTATAGTTTAACAAATAATACAAAAAACAAGGGAACTAGCTGGTAATGGGATTGGCTGGCTATATGGATACTTAGGGCAACTTGCTATTAAATAAGTATGCTAAAAAAAATGTATAAAAGCCTGTGTAACTTCCTGCTCTGTGTGCAAGATTTGAAATTCTATTCTCCTTGTACCTTTTTGAAGCTTCACATAAACTTTTCTGCTTCTCCACCCCGTTGTAATTATTGGGTGAAGCACACTGGGTAGTGAACCAACTCCTGCTGTTGTTTTGCCTCTCGGCACTGGGTGTCGGCAACAGCTTATGGCGTCCCTGGGTGGGTGACGAGGCTGCTATTTAGCCTTGCCCGGACCCCTCCTGGAGGTTGAGGATTGTGGCGAGAACCGACGCCCAGCGCACACTGGTGAGTTCATCGGGGGCCTCGGAGGAGACGCGATTTGATTGATGTCGGAGGGCACAACGGTGCAAAGCACTCATATAGTGGAGAAGCAGTTGTGGACGACGGTGAGGAACCGGTCCCTTGAATAAGGTAGAAACCTTTTGAAATCCGGATTGTATGCTATGTTGGAACCTGGGGATGCCCAGAGTTACCCTGTAGGTATGGGACAGGGACAGAGCTCGAGGGTTAGGGCACAGTGTACGCCCCTAGAATGCATTCTAGCAAACTGGAAGGTATTTGGTGCGAATCCAATAACTAAAAGCCAATTAAAACGATTCTGTACAGTTGACTGGCCTCAATATCAACTAGAGGACCAGGAGTGGTGGCCACCAGGATGGTCAATTAATTACAACACGATCCTCCATTTAGTTTTGTTTTGTCAGTAAATGGGTAAATGAAATAAACATTTGTATGCACAAGTGCTTATGGCTTTAAGAAATAGAACAGAGCTGTAATTCTGCAGAGCTGTAATCTGACTCCGACTGGTTCGGTAGTAGTTAATGTTAGTCCCCAGACCCCCACTCCCACTGTAATGGCAGAGCCGATGTCCCCTTCGGCCCCCACACCTCCACCTTATAAGGGTAGGATGCCTCGGGTTACAGAGATTGCCCCCTCGGTGGGACTCTATCCTTTGATTCCCGAGACTGTTGTGGCTTGCCCGGGGCAGAGGGACGTCAGGCTACCACTATGCAAGTTTACACCCATGTGCCATTCAATCGAATAGACTTAGCAGCTTTTAAAACACAGGCTGGGGAATTCTCAACGAACCCAAGCCAGTTTATTTCAGTCTTTGAGGGGTGCCTCAGTAGTCACAAGCCGGATTGAGACGACTGTAATATCCTCCTGAGAACCCTGTTGTCTGAGGTGGAGAGGGATCAGGTTACAGCTAAGGCAAGGGGAGTGTCAGCTTTCTTCAAGTTCTACCCCAAGTAATCTTAATCAGATTTCTGGGTATGGCAGGTTTTGCAGATCCCAGATTTTGGACTTTGGACCAAAACCTTTTTTTTTTTTTTTTTTTATTTGACTTCTCGAAAATCTTTCAAAGCCCCCTAAAAACCCTTTTTAATTTAATTAAAAATTTTTTTTTATTAAAATCACTTTTCCCTTTTTTATAAACAAACTCCCTGCTCAAGGGCAGAAGCTGGGAGCAGCACAGAACTTATCACATTCCCCACTCAAGCTCCGTCTGGGGCGAGGGCGTGTGCTGTGAGCAGAACTCAGGTATGAAAATCAGGGGAGGAACCACTATGGCTTGTGGGTGCGGAGCACCCCCTATTTTTCTTTCATGGGTGTTTGAGCCCCGGAGCACCCACAGAGTTGGTGTCTATGTGTTATATCCTTTACCTGAATGGGACAACTTTTGGCCATCCCTTGGAGTAAATGTCTGTGCCATCCTCAGATGGCTGAGGTCTCATCACTTCACAAGATAAGCAGAGTTCAGGTAAAAAACGTGAGCGGAAAAGCCACAGTGCTGCAGGGAGTAACATGAGTTACTCAGAAAAGGTGCGCTCCTCTCTGAGTCAGTGCTCTGGCCCCAGCATGAGGCTAAGGGAAGAGATGGGTCAAACCAAAATCCGTAGAGCTTTGATCAGAGTGGGGGGACCATGGGCTTGACTGGGGGAGTATCTGGATGGATTGGGGGCAAAAAACCTGGCTGGGGGAGTGGCTGGAGTTAAGGGGAGAGGGGCCTGGCTGAGGTGGTTGCCTGGCAGGGGGGAGGGCCAGGTGTGGGGACCTGGCCAGACTGGGAGTGAAGGGCCTACATGGGGGGGAGCGGGAGTGGGTGGGTGAGGACATGGCTGAGGGGGTGGGCTGGCTGGAGCAGCTTTCAGCTGCCTGATTTCCACTAAAATTAGGCCCTCAGAGTGCCCATTTGCTGCTGCAAGCATAGGTGCCGACTCTGGGGCTGGAGCACCCATGGGGAAAAATTAGTGGGTGCTCTGCACCCACCAGCAGCCAAGCGCCCCGCCCCACCTCACCTCCTCCTCCCCTGACTGCACCGGGCGATCCCACTCCTCTGCCTACCTCCCAGTGCTTGCTGCCCCCAAACAGCTGTAGCCAACTCCAGGAGAGAGGGGGGAGGAGCGGGAACGTGGCACACTCAGGGGAGGAGGCAGGGAAGAGGCGGGGCCCGGGTGGGAATTTGGGGAAGGAGTCAGAATAGGGGCAGGGAGGCGGTAGAGTTGGGGCAGGAACTTTGGGGAAGGGGTTGGAATGGGGCAGCAGGGGTGGGGCCGGGGTGGGGCCGGGGGCAGAGTGGGGTCGAGCACCCATCGGCACCAGTAGAAGTCGGTGCCTATGGCTGCAAGAAGAGGAAGCTAACCTAACGCCAAACTA